GCGGAAGCTAATGACATTGGGCGTTTGTCCGAAAAAATATTAGGCCCTCAATTCGGGCAGCAACAACCGCCAAGTGTTTTATCCAGTGGTTTCCATAATCTACAGCGCCAAGGCTTTATTGGGGGAGCACAACACATATAAAACCTCAGCTATGTTCCCCATCTTTAAGTAGACCCTTCTACTAGGCCACTTCTCTTCACAACCATAGAACCACACAAATAAACACGATTCCAATTTTCTTTCCACTCCACCCCCGTGACTCCACATATACAATACGGAACGTCATTACGGATGTCTGGCGGCTATTCTACTAAGATACCTACCTGACCAGACATACCACGACGATAATTTCCAAGATCTATTCCGGGCCCTCTGATGCGTGCTGCATGTTTTCCGTTGCGGCCCGCAATTGTTTAATGCTCGAGACATTCGTGACTATAAACTGATCCTAGTGTGTAGCTCTAGTGCGCGATCAGTCTGATATTCTACCATAACCAGAGCAGGTTGATAGTTTTCTCTTGTCCTATGTATATTCGAGCGCAGAATAAAAATACCAAAATCTTATTCTGTTCCCCTCCGTTTCTCTCTTTTCCGTGTTCCAATCGAAAAAGAAAAAGAAAAAGAAAAACCACCCCCACTCAGGATCCCTGAAAACTTACATACCCTTTATGGACCGATGGCGCAATTGGTATGATACCAAATCTGCGCACATCAAAAAAAGGTCATGGGTTCAATCCCGGACCAAGTTCCATTAATCGGATCGTCATTCTACGGATGTCTGGCGGCTAATTCCTACCTGACCAGACATACCACGACGAATTTAATCCAAGATCAAACCCGGGTCTCTGATGCGAGATTGCGTTGCAGTTGCAGCTCATAATTCTTAAGCCTGGGACATTACTTTGTTGATCTATTTTCTTCATTTTTTTTTGTATGTACTCTGGAGTAGAGGGTTTGTGGGTGCCGTGTATCGACATGGGTAGGTTTTTGAAGAGTTGCCCGCTCTTTTACAAGGTTACCGCGTGAGGCCGCCAGTCGCCGTTTCTATACTCCAGCTTTCCCATGCTTGATCTGGGCGCTGAGTTTCTAGGGCTGGGAATCTTGTTCTTGATATTGTCTAAACCAAAAAGAGAAATGGCGACTGAGTGACAGGTTAGCCGACTATATAGGTGTCCAGACACGTTACGAGTTACAATAGCGGCGTGGTTGTAAGCATATGTGTTTAGTTTTGAGAGCCTATAAGTTAGGCTGCGCAAGCCACTTGATCCAATTTACTCTTCATCTTCTTCTTCATTCGAGAAATAGAGCCTGAGCCATCTTCTTGAGAAAATTCCAGATCTAAGATAGAGAGACCCCGAACACCAACAGCCTGGAAGTGGTCACGGCGACTGGCCGGCCTCACGCGGTACTGAGAACGCTGGCATTGTCGACATTAACACTAAATTCACGATCATTCACCCCCGAGTGATCACTTATGAACGACATCCCAACGGCCATAACAAACAAAACAAGTCAGTCCCTGGAATCAATTCTCCCCCCCCCGCCCCCCTAGCTACATTTAATAAACAAGAACAAAAAACAAAAAGACCCATCACCCCATTTTAAAAAAGCTAAACCGAAAATCACAGTGTCTCTATAGTCTACAATACTAGCCACTAGCTGCTGGCATTCTCCTTCTGCTTGTCAGCCCACTCGAGCCTGATCTCGACGGCCCTGCGGTGGGCCTCGAGCTCCTCGACCTTTGCGAGCTGCATAACGGCGCCACCGACATTGCGGAGACCCTCTTCGGTAAGCTCGCTGCTGGTGATGTGTTTGACGAAGGTGGAGAGGTTGACGCCGGAGTATTGGCGGGCGTAGCCGTATGTTGCTGTTGGCTTTGTTAGCTATCAAGTATATCTAGAGAGAGAGAGGGTATAGAGATCGGGGATACTAACGCAAACTGTGGTTCACCCCCGCCGAGTAATCACCCACCGACTCTGGTGTCCACATGCCCACAAACACACTCCCCGCATTCACCACGCCATCCACGACCTTCGCCGCATCCTCCACCTGCAGAATGAGATGCTCGGGCGCATACGTGTTGCTCAGCGCCACCGCCTCCTCTATCGTCCCTGTCTGCAGCGTCACCGAGTGCTCAATCGCGCCTCTCACGATCTCCACCCGCGGCAGGGCCACCGCCTGCCTGTGAACCTCCTCCTCGATCGCCTCGAGCCCCGCATCGTCGAGCCCCACAGCGATCAGCACAACTTGCGAGTCAACACCGTGCTCCGCCTGCGATAGCAGGTCACTCGCGACGAATGCGGGGTTTGCGTTGCGGTCCGCGATCACGAGAACCTCGGAGGGGCCAGCGGGCATGTCGATCGATACTCCGGCAGAGGTGTCGTTGCTGACATACATCTTCCCGGCCGTCACAAACTGGTTTCCAGGGCCGAGGATCTTATCCACCTTTTGCACAGACTCTGTGCCATACGCCATCGCGGCCACGGCCTGCGCACCGCCCGCAAGGACAATGCACTCTGCGCCGACCTTGTGCGCGACATACACAATCTCGGGCGTCACAGTGCCATCGGGGCGTGCTGGGGTCGCAAAGACGATACGGGAGCATCCCGCCACCATGGCGGGCACACCTAGCATGAGCGCTGTAGAGGGCAGGACGGCAGTCCCACCGGGGACGTAGAGGCCGACGCGTTCAATTGGGCGGACGAAGCGTGAGCAGCGGACGCCGGGCATGGTGCTGATTGTGAGGGGCTCGGACTCGGCCTGGGCGGCGTGGAAGGTGTGGATGTTGGCGAAGCTGAGGTCGATTGCGGCCTTGGTCTCGGGGGAAAGGGCCATGAGGTGGTCGGGGAAGGGCGCGCGGAGGACGGGGGAGGTGAGGGTTGCGCGGTCGAACTTCTGGGCGAGCGTGATAAGGGCCGAGTCGCCGTTTGTGCGCACAGAGTCGATGATGGGTGTGACGATGGACATGATGGTGTTTGTCTTTTGTGCGGGGCGGCGGAGGATTGTTTCGAGTTCTTCGGGAGTGGCGGACTGGGCGTCGATGCGCTTCATCTTGATGGGGCGATTGGGGTCGAGCGGTTCTGCGGGCGTCTCTGCGGGCTTGGGTGCCTCTGCGGGTGCGGGCTTATCACTCTCCGCCTTGTCTCCAGCAGCAGTAGCAAAAAACTTGGGCTTTGCGTCTCCCCTCCTCCTCGACACCTTCAGCGCCTTCCTGTCCAGATTCCTCTCCACATCCGCCAGGTCCACACCGGCCGCCACACACCTCGTCAGCGCAAAATAGAACAGGTCTGCGGCCTCGAACGCGATCTCGTCCTTGGTCTTTGCATCACACAGCTCCTCGGCCTCCTCGAGGATCTTGGCGCGCAGCAGCTGTGCGTCCGAGAAGAGGCGCGCGGTGTAGGAGCCGGCGGGGGCGGACTCTTTACGGGCTTGCAGTGTCTTTTGGAGGTGCGAGAGGCCGGTGTAGGCGCCGAAGCAGGTGGCCGTTTCGAGGTGGCAGAAACCTGCGGGGGTTAGTTATGGGTTTGAGAGGGGTAATGATAGTTGGGAGGGTAATGATAGCTAGGAGGGAAAAGACTCACCACTCCCCTTCTGGCGCACCACAAAGCGCAGACAATCCGCATCGCAGTCCGCATCAATCCTCACCAGCTCCTGCGTCGCTCCGCTGGTGGCACCCTTATACCACAGCCCCCTCTTGCGGCTCTGATACACGCCGCTGCCCGTTCTGATACTCTCGCGCACGCTCTCCAGCGAGCTATATACCAGCCCCAATGCGACCCCGCGCTCATCCACCACCAGCGTCGTCACTAGTCCGTCCTCGCGATCTGAAACCACACCCGCCATCACCACCTCGGCCACGCCCAGCAGCCCCTCTCCACCGTCCACCGTCATCCACGCCGAATCCAAGATGGGCACGGCCGCCAGCTTCGCGATGCGCACGACATCGGCGAGCGCGGGCTGCGTGGCAAACGAGACATAGACGGGCGGGTGGTTGCCCGTACCGTACTCGGTTAGCCAGGCGGCGATGGCGTCAATGTCGGTGACGCTGTGAGCGTAGATGCCGACGCTGGTGTCGCTGATGGCAGACACGATGGTGTCTTTTGAGTTGTGGGCTGTGTCGAGGAGGAGGGCGAGGCGGGAGTCGTCGTTGATGAGGGGCTGCAGCGTGGAGAGCTGCTCATAGGTGGCGAAGAGGCGGGTTGCGCCCGCGTCGAGGAGGGAGTGGATGGCATCTGTGTCGGGGAGGGAGGTGACGTTCACCGAGATGGTCTGGGCGGTGGTGTGGGCGGAGATGTATTCTAGGGCTTGTGGGAGGGTGTCGGGGGTCACGGTGAGGAGGGTTTGGGAGATGTGGGAGAGGGTGCTGGGGGAGAGGCCCGAGGAGGGAGAGGTGAAGGGGTCGATTGCGGCTATGAGGGGCAGCGACATTTTGTGTGTAGACTGTATGTAGCTGTATCTATTCTATTCAATTGAGTGTATCTGTGCAATTGACCGAGCAGTTCTGCCGGGCCAGTGATATCGGTGGTGGTGGTGGTGGTGAAAAGGGTGTGAATGCGTGAGTCAATGACTGGCGAACGCAGGTTTTCTGGCGTCGTGGTTGGCAAGGCAGCGGGCCCTGGCTGTTTTTCTAGCGTAGCGGGGTATCTCTTAGGGCGGGGTGGGTGGGGTGACCAGCTGAACGCTAGCCCGTGGGCTCATCTCAGCACCGGTGCATGGCATGGAACAAGAAATAAGATGCACGCCCGATCATTACCTCACGGCCTTAGCTCGCTGCTATCCGGCCAATGATCAATCGGCCATCATCATCACCCCGGCCAATGATCAATCGGCCATCATCATCACCCGAGCCAATGATCTTCCTGAAACCGAACCCGGTCCGCCAAGCCACACGTGACCGTCCCAAACCACCAACAACCCTCACCACCAAGTTCCAACTATCACCACCATACCATCCAATTCCCCATCACAAACCAAACACACAAAACACACACACACAATCAATGGCCGACACAAACGGCAGCGCCACCGCCGGCGCCGCAGCAGACGCAGACTCGCAGCAGCCCACCTCCTCCTCCGCCGCCGCCGCAACCACCACCACCGCCGGCGCCGGCGCCGCCGACGACCCCACAAAACAGCCGGCGACGGACGCCCCCCCGGCGGGAACAAGGAAGCCCCGCGACGCAAGAATCATACACCTCATCCTGGCGTCCATGGGCGTGTCGTCGTACCAGGAGCGCGTGCCGCTGATGCTAATGGATTTTGCCTACCGTACCGTACCCCCCCCCCCCCCCCCCTTTCTTCTTCCTTCTCCTGTCTCCCCCCTCTCATGCCATCGCGGGATGCTGATATGGGATGCTGGCGCATCCACCAGGCTACACGTCCTCCGTGCTCCAAGACGCGCTCCTCTTCTCCGACGCGATCCACAGCACCACAAACACGGGCGGGCCCAACCCGCCGTCGTCGGTGACGCTGTCGGACCTGCGCATGTCGGTTGCGTCGCGCATCAACCACCAGTTCAACACGGCGCTGCCGAAGGAGTTTCTGCTCGACATTGCGCAGGAGCGCAACCGCGTGGGGCTGCCGACGGTGGGGAAGGAGTTTGGGGTGCGGCTGCCGCCGGAGAAGTATTCGCTGACGGGGATTAGCTGGGAGCTGGCGGAGACGAGGGAGGATTGGATGGCGGAGAGTAGTGGCGAGGAGGAGGAGGAGGGGGTGGTGGCGGGCGTGGGGATGGGGGTGGTGGGGTTGAGGGGGGTGGGCGGCGGGGGTGGGGGGGGGGAGATGGAGTTGGATGATGCGGCGGATTTGTTTGCGGAGGAGGAGGAGGATAGTAGTATGGTGGATGCGTAGGGGGAGGTGGGGGGGGGGGGGTTGGTAATTTTTTTTAAGGTGTTTGTTTTTTCCGGTTCTTGGGTCTTTTTTTTTTTTTTTGCTTTCTGGTTCTTGTGGTTCTTCCTGGTATAGAGTTCGGGGAAGTGTTCTAATTGCAATCCAATCGAGTATATCCAACTAGTAGATCGGTGTTCGTAATCAGTAGAGGTTGGGTGAGTATGATTAGTGGAAGCCCTATCAGTACTCAATCAGTAGTACTCAAACTCAATCGGTACTCAATTAGTACTCGATCAGTACTCCCAATTAGTACACTAAATGTGATTGTCACTGCGGCTAGCTTACAATCATTGCTAATAATACGACAAGGGGTGCTCAGTACAAGCTAATAGGATTGTTGATCGATAAGGTACATGTAGTTATATTTAGTAGGATGTGTCCCCAATGATCATGAGCACTGGCGGTTTGAGTATTGTAATCATTACCACGGCTAGCTTGTAATCATGGCTGGATGGAGCTTGGGAGCTTCTACCATATATGGCCATCTAATAGTGTTATTGATCGATACGGCGGTCCCAATTTGTAGGATGTGTTCAGCACAATTAGAATTAAAGAGAGCTTTTATAAGTTGGTAGCCTTAGTCGGTGCTGTCAATTGGTACTCTTAGCTATTACTCCCAGTAAAGACTCTGAATTGGTACATACTAGTACTGTCAATTGGTGCTCTTTCTCGATCAGTACTTGTCTCAAATTATGCAAATCAGTATTCAATTACCACTACTAAGCACACACCAGCTCTAACCCAGGCCAACCCCCCACCCACCTCACCCCGCAAACCACGCACATCAACTGCCAACCCAATATATTCTCTAAAAGCCTATATACTATACAAGAAAAAATTAAACCCCCCATCCCCATCCCCATCCCCATCCCCATCCCCCCCTCTTCACCAACCTACCTGCCCTCACTCCCCTTCCCCAACTGCGTAAACCCCACAACCGCCCTCGGCGGGTTCCCCCGCACCGTGCCATCGCCCATGACCTTCTCGCGCTCACTGATGCGCTTCTCGATGCGGCGCCGGAACCATTCGTCGCGCGCCTCGTCCTGCGCCTCGGGCGTCGCGTGCAGCACCATGCAGCTGTTCATGGCCTGCCGCGGCGTGCGGCACGCCCAGGCGGCGGAGATGGTGCGGTTGCGGGCGCAGTCGGCGAATTCTGGTGAGCGTCAGCTTGCGAGTTTACGAGCATTCATGCAATTATGGCGCCCCCCCCCCCCCAAAACCCCCCGCAAGGGGGACCCGGGGAGAGCGGGGGGGGGGACAGACGTTTGATCTCTTCGGCACAGCGGCCGCGGACGCGGGCGTAGTAGAGGTCGCGGACCTGGCCCTCCTGGTAGGCGGAGAGGGGGAGGGGGTTCTTTGAGAGTTCGGGGATGGGGGGGTGTTCGGTGTGTGTTGCTGTTGCTGTTGTTGTTGTTGTCTGCATGTTGAGGCTGTGAGGATTGGAGGTTTGGATTGCAGTGGGAGGTTTGGATTGGATTGCAGTGAGAGAGAGGTAGATGCAGAGGTATGATGCAGTCGGTCGGACGATATGTGGCGGTGTGGGCGTGTGGCTGATGACGTAAGAGCTGCAGGGGAAGCGGGAGGCGGTGGCGGTGGAGTGGAGCGAGGTTGAGGGGAGGCGATGTCCGTGGGGATGGGATGATGGGTTCTGTGTGTGGTGTGTGGAGTGGAGAGCTGGGCGTGGGGAGTGGGGAGTGGGGAGTGGGGCTAGCGAGGGTAATGGGAAAAGTGGTGGGGTCATGTATTCTCACTCATCACCGGGGAGCTGATCTTTCTTCTCATGGCTACTTGTGCTTTTGTTTGAAGACTGCAACTGCAATTGCTAGCAAGGAATCTAATACCACACACACACACACACACACACACACACACACATATTGTCCCTCCCGTCTGCGTCCGCTTTTTTTGTTTCCACCACCCACCCACCCACCGACACACCAACAAGCCACATACTAAAAGAAGCCAACAAAAGTCCTCCATCCATAAGCAAGAAAAGAAAAAAGAGAGAGAAAAAAGAGAAAAGCACATGAAAAAGAAGGGAATAAGTAACATAAAGACAAAGAAAGAAAGAGAGAAAGCTGTATCCCATCCCGTATTAAATTTTTTCCGTTTTTTTCCTCGGTTTTTTTTTTTTTTTTTTTTTTTTTTTTTTTGTTTCTTTCGCTTTCTCCGCTGTTGGGGCGCTGGACCGAAAAAGTAGAGTAGAGTAGAGTAGAGACAGAGCACTACTCGTTCCTGAACAGCACACTGATACTCTCTCCATGGTGGACCCGTCTCACAGCCTATCCCGCCCACAAATCAGCACTCTCCCCCCTCCCAGAAAGCACAGACAGAACAGAAAAACTCACCTCCGCAAAGACCTCGCCCACGTCCAAAACCTCCAACTTATGGCACCTCCTCCGGTTCTCATCCTGCGGCACCGTGTTTGTCGTCACGACCCGGTCCAGGGCACTCGCATTGATGCGCTCAATGGCATCCCCGGAGAAGACGCCGTGCGTCACGAGCGCATACACCTTGGTCGCCCCGCCCTTGCCCTTCAGCAGCTTCGCGGCCCGCGTGATCGTGTTGGACGTGTCGGCCATGTCGTCGACCAGGATCGCAACCTTGCCCGCGATGTCGCCGACGAGCATCATGGTCGCGTTCTGGCGGTCCGTGATGCGTGTGGGGCGGCGCTCCTGCTGTTCGTTAGTCTATGCCGCCATCACCACCACCACCATGCTTGGGGGAGGTGTAAGAGGGGGAAGAGGGGGGCACCTTATGGATCAGCGCAAACTCCATCCCCAGCGCATCCGCAATCGCCGTCGCGCGCTTCGCGCCACCCGCATCCGGCGACACAATCACGGCGTTCTGGTAGTCGGGGATGTTGTACTTGATATAGCGCTGCAGCAGCGGGCGCCCATACAGGTTGTCGACGGGGATGTCGAAGAAGCCCTGGTACTGCGGGTCGTGCAGGTCCATGGTGATGATGTGGTCCGCGCCCGCGCACGTGAGCAGGTCCGCCACCAGCGTGCCCGCCTGCGCAACCCACTGCTTGTACCCCGTGTTCTTGGGCGGCGACCACTCGCTCGACGCCCCGCTGCCCCGCAGCCCATTGACCGACTCGGCCGTGTTGCTGCGGCGCAGCAGCGGCGTCATCGAGCTCTTGGGCGTGCCGGGCCCGCTGGGCGCCTCCATCCCGCGCTCGAGCGCTAGCCGCGAGAGGCCCTTCTCGAGGTCGCCGTGCGAGACGCCGGGGATGGGGAAGTCGACGGGGCCGGGGGTGCCGGGGCGGGACTCGAAGGTGTATTCGCCGCCGCGGGCGCCGCCGCCGTAGTTTGCGGGGGCCTTTGTGAGCGGGGCGCCGACCTTGTTGTAGGGGATGTCGGACTGGCGGCTGTAGGGGAAGTGGGGGAGGACGGCGGTGACGCGCTTGGCGGAGGCGGTCTTGCAGGCGGAGATTGTGATGAGGAGCTCGATGACGCCGTCGTTGACGCGGCCGCAGCCGGACTGGATCACGAAGACGTCTTTGCCGCGGACAGAGTCCTGGATCTCGACGCGGGTTTCGCCGACGGCGAATTTGGAGAGCGTGATGCGGCCGTTGGGGATGCCGAGCTGGTGGCAGATTGTTGCGACGAGTTCGGGGTGGGAGGAGCCGCCGAGGACGACGATGTTGCGGACCATTGCGGCGGTGGGGGGTGGCGGGGCGGGGAAGAGGGGCGAGGGTGGGGTCTGTGGTGGGGTCTGTGGTGGGGTTTCTTGTGCTGGTGCTGCTTGGGGTAGCGGTGGTGGGGTCGGGTCAGAGGGTGGTGGTGATGGTGATGGTGATGGTGATGATCCTGATCCTGATGATGATGATGGAGTAGATGCAGTGGGAGGAGCAGTGGATTGTGAAGATTCAGAGACAACTTCGACTTCCTCTGCTGCTGCTGCTGCTGCTGCTTCTTCTTCTTCTTTGTCTGTCTGAGGTTGGTGAAGAAGAGTTGGTGATGATGATGAAACTGAAGAAGGTGTTGCAGTTTCTGTCTCGGGCTTTTGTGGTTGTGGTTGAGGAGGAGGAGGAGGAGTGGCTTGTTGCTGCTGCTGCTGCGCTTCTGATTCTTTCTCTTCTGATTCTTCGTCTTCGTTTGCTTCTTCCTGTCTTGGGCACTCGACGATCACTTCAGGCACTTGAGACACTTGCGGCTCAACAACAACGACAACCTCTTCTTCTTCTTCTTCCTCTTCCTGTTCCCGTTCCTGTCTTTCTTCTCCTCGCTCCTCTTCTTCTTCTCGTTCTTGCCCAGGAGCAGCACCAGCAGGATTGACCACAGCAGAATCGACAGGCGCAGGCGTCGCACGATACGAAAATAACCTCGAAACCGGCGTCCTAGCACAAGCTTCACGTTTAGCCCCACCGTCACCACCGTCGTCACCAGCACACATGAAGATTTCTCTAGCAACCCAATTGCAAGAGGGAAAACAAACAAGAAAAGGCCCTCTCACAAGAACCACTTCATCAGAAGCCTATTTTTTTTCTTCTTTCTTTTCTTTTCGCTTTGGTTTTTTTTTATAATATATGTAGAAAGGCCTCACAAACCTTAAATAAAAACCTAACGACGTCGGCGTTGTTGGGCCTATATGTATAAAAAAAAAAAATAGCAAGCTAAAAAAAATCCAATTCTCTAACCAGAAGCTACTATTTTTTCAATTCGGTACCGTAGTCGAAAGTAGAGAGTCCACTGGGGTAGTTAGATACCTAGAGTTAATTCAGAAGGGGAAAAAAAACGGTCAGAGAAAAAAAAAAAAACCAGCAGGGTTGTTTCTCTTCCTAGTGACTGGACGACGTTGGAAAAGATTTTTTTTTTTTTGTAACCTGCCAAGCGGAGTAGAGTAGAGTAGCATGCGCCAAGCCAGGCAGGCCGTTTACTAAACCGAGCCGTTTACTAAACCAAACCCGCTCACGAGAAACATTGGAATTGTTTGAGTACAACACCACCCTTCGGCCACCATCCACTCACAGCGTCCCCTCGGGCCATCTCCTGATCAACACCGGTACCCTATCGGATAAACATGAAAACCGCGTACCTACATTGACTGATAGACACTAGAGCAGAGTAGGTAGATGCTGGTTGATATCCTTGGCATGTATCAATCAATGTAGTACTAACACGAGCATGTATCTGCTACAAAGCATTACGATGTCACTGCTACTACTGTACTACTAACATGTAGTACTACGCAGGATGGGTATGTATACTACAAAGTATTGATATTGATATTTTATTCCTCACAACCACCCTTCTCAAACACTCACAAAAATCCCACGTACCCGCCCATTTGGCTGTCGTTAAGGTGGACATCCAGCCCAACCCAAAGCTTAACCCTACAGCTATCTCGCTCGCTATAAAATAAAATAAAAAAACCCGAAAAACAAAGCCTTCTTCATCTACACACACTGCTTTACTTTGTCCGCATTTGAAAGAAAAAAAAAAGATGGAAAAAAAAGGCCCCCTTTTATACTAAGGTTTCAAAGTGAATCAAACCCGACTCTCTCAACTTTTTTGCGTAACCTGGCCCTCCTGAAAAAAAAAACAGAAAAAAAACAAAAGTGAAAGAAAAGAAATAAAAACAAGGAAAGTTACAAAGGAAAAGAGCGCGCAGAAAAGAGAAAAAAAAAACAGAAAAACAGAGAGAAACCGGCCCGCCCAAACTAAACATTGCCCACCCACGGGGGGAGCAGACCCAGTAATGAACGGCATTTCCCAAACTTACAGCGCCCTACTTTAGTTCCCCTACTCCATCCTACACACTCGGCTCTTTACCAGTCGCCGTCATCCTCATCATCTAATCTCTCATTAGTATTTTCTTTTGCACGGTTATCAACGCAGAAAAACTTACCACTCTGGTTTGAAACTTTGCCCTTTCTCTTATCCAGCTCTTGTTGCAACGCAAGCATTGGGTTACTGGCCGGTGCTGGTGTAGCTGACGGCTTGATAGCTGGGGCGCTTGCGTCCTTGACCGTCTTTGTCTTCTTCAGCGCACCAATTCCTCCCGCACCTCTGATAGACGCTAGCAGATCTCCAGGGGGCAGAGCACTCTTGCTGGGTAACGGTGCTGCGCCTTCGTCTCGGCCTGGTAGTGGCGGGGGCGGAGGTGCTCCACCAGGAGCCATCCCAGGTGGAGGTGGTGGTGGTGCAGGAGGGGCATTATTGCTAAACCCAAAGCTTGGCGGCGGCGGCGGCGGTGGTGGTGGTGGTGCAGATCCACCGAAGCCGGACATGCCACCGGAAGGAGGTGGTGGCGGGGGCGGTGGTGGCGGTGATGCACCCGAACTAAAGCCGGGCATGGACACCACTGGTGGAGGCGGCGTATTGTTGCTGAACCCGGGCATGCTGGGAGGTGTTGGGGGAGGTCCGCTGGGGAAACCGATCATCATGGGAGGTCCGGATGACTGGGGTGGTGGAGGTGGCGGGGGTGGTGGGGGAGCTGGTGGTGGGGCCGCAACAACCGGAGGGGGTTGGAACGGCGGCGGCGGTGGACGGGCTGGTGGGACATCTAGATATGAGTTAGTTATAGCTTCAATGTTAAAGTATAGGGGATAGTGACCTCGAGTTGGTGGTGGAGGCGCTTCTACCGGTGGCCGAGGTGGTGGTGGGGGTCCTGGGGGTGCTGGTCGTGATGGTAGAACAGGTATCGGTGGTCCTCGGCTTGGAGGGGCCTGCGGAGGAGCCTGCGGAGGAGCCTGCGGAGGCCGGCTCGGTGGCTGGAAAGGCGGTGGAACTGCAAACCTTGTCGGAGTATTCTCCTCCAGTGGCGTCTTCGGCGGTAGTGGCGGTGCTCTTTCTGTAGGCGGTAGTGGTGGTGGTGGACCTGGTCTGGGTGGTGGAGCTGAATTGGCATAGGCACCAGCAGTAGGAAGCGGAGGGGGGACCCCAAATCGTGGCTGGGTAGGCGGAGATACAGCTCGCGGCGGCGGTGGAGCTGGAGATCGGGACGGTGGGGGAGGCGGTGACGAGCCATTCGATTGAGAAGCTAAATGCCTTGACCCCCTGGGTATTGGTGGAGGGGGTGGTGGTCCCCTCCGTGACTTGGTCGAGCTTCCAGTTGCTTGAGGACTCAGTTGACCAATGCCATTCCTGAGTACAGGCGGCGGAGGCGGCACAGAGGGTGGTGGGGGTGCAGATTGCGGGGGTGCAGGCGGCGGGGGTGGAGGAGCTTTCGCACTCCTATCAACTCCCCTTGGTGACCCCGGTACTTCCATTACATGCACTCCATTCCCATTCCCATTCGATAGTCGCTTACGCTTCTCTGCCTCAGCATTCTTTTCCTTCTCGGCGATATAACTCTTGATAAAGTCTTCGTTATCCTTTATCTGATCTGCCGTAATTCCCATGTCCATTAACTCTTTTAGGAGTGCCTGGAACTCCGGGTCTGGGTTGTCTATTGAAAACGGCACATCGCCTCCGTTTTGAGCCTTCGGCGCAGGGGGAGAGGGTGAATTGCGAGAAACGCTATCGCTGCGTCCCATATGAGGAAGGTGAGGATGCGGTATGTGTGCGCTGAATCCAGCGGGGCGGCCTTTGGATTTTGCGTATTTTTCTCGTGTCTCAACCTTTTTGTGAAACCCTGCAGCTTCCTTCTCATCCGCAAATGAAAACCCTGCCATGCAGTCTTCGAGCTCAAAAGTATGGAAGAAGGTTCGGTCATGATTGTACTTGAAGCCCTCGTAGAGCTCCTGGTCCCATATCACGCCTTTGTTGCTCTGTTTCGTAAAGTTAGTACTGTGACTCTCCTCAACCCCACCTTAGAAACAAGTAACACGTACAGTAACATCGACTATTTTGAAGAAAAACGTGTGTCCGACCAAGTCCTCGGCCAGTACCACCGCCCCACTGATTCCGGTGAAGTTCCATTTGTGCTTATTTGGATAGTTCACGTAGAGTCGTGCGACAGCGACAGTGATGATATTGTTTGATGGACTAGGTACTGCGCGTTTAACGACTAGCTTGTCGTCCTTGTTCAGTATGGACGGCATGGCATGAGAGGGGGAGGGGGGGTATTGTGTGCGGGCGGTAATGTGTACAGTGGTCGTCGATTCAAGGTCTATGGCCGTGCTCTCCCCTTTGTCAGTTGAAGAGGGGTTTCTGTGAGTATTGTCGATTGTATTCCTAGCTTTGGGAGGTAGTAGAGTGAACAAACAGGTACGGGAATGGAATGGAGTTGATGTCTAGGTAGAAGGAAGGAATGGGGAACTGTGGTGCAAAGCCTCAACCAGCCCGAGTTTGGAGAAGATGACGCCCTGGAAAGATCCTTGCTCGATGGGATTGGTGGAGCTCGGCCGTTGGTTGGTCCTGCACGCTTAAGCGGCTGTGTTCCCCTTTCTACTTTCCAAAGCGCTCGGTCGGCTTCTCTAGGGGACAAATGAACGCTGGGATCCTTCCAAACTAGAATCCCTGTTTGACACCGCACAATGTCGTGGTCGTGAGCCGAGTGTTGAAGTTTAAATAGAATTGGTATCCCAGCTCAAGTTCCTCTCTCTCTCTCTCCCATTCAAGAGTGAGTACTTGTATCTATCTTCAGCTGTGTGGATATAAAGCAAGGTACTGCTAGAGATCTGACATTCTCCTCACGGCTTGCCGTCCGGTCTGTCAGAACAATAAAACTCAGGAAAGAGGACTTGAGGGGTACGTAAGCTTAAGTCAAACTCGTTCCCGCGCGGCCTTACGTGTGTTACCGCCACTGTGGCTGGGGGGCTGTGTTACATTGCACACAAGCACAAATTAACGGGATTGAGTGATTTTTGATGACCGCGGATATCTATGTTCCGATGCCGCGTTGCCGTGCCCGCCTGGCCGACAGGGTTTTGGCGATACATAAATTCTCCCCCTAGCTGGTTTGGACTGACACAGCGCGCCGACCCGTTCTTTATCGGACTTTTGATAACGGGGGTTTTGACGATTGCATCATACCGCAGCTGTACCAGTACCACACAGGTGCCTGCCTACATGTACCTACCTGGTAAACACGTCAAAATATGAAACCCGGGTTCACCTGGATGCCATATCGCAAGGATTCCCAGCCACAACCACGGTTTTATTCCTACTACTTCTACAGCCGATACGGACACTTCTATCCCCAAAACATCACTTACTGGCCCCTCTAGCAGATAGCTTGCCATGGACTGAGAGGTAGTTACTCACAAGACCAGCTCCATACACCTTGGCACTTCTACGGAGACTGTGAATAGCACACAGCACCCTAAGCTATGGCTCGATCATCTTAGCTAGATGAATAGGGCCTGCTCTCCTATAAAAAAACCTCTAGGACCAGGACCAGGACCAGGTTAACGATCTCCGTCGGGTTGAAGTCCCTCGATCCCTGGAACAAAAGATCTGGCCAGGGTGCTGAATAGCTAAAAGCATATAACAGAATGACCGATAGGATAGGTAGTCCAGGCTACATGATGTGGATTTAGACTAGAGAATACTCTTGGGTAGGTGGATCCGGAGCCTCTGTACTTCTGAAGGCGTTACTACACCATACAGTCCATACCCAAGACACAGCACACAACGGGACATAGAGCGCCGCTATTTTCACCCCAATATCTCATGCCTGGCGATGGCACTGTATCGAACCGAGATGATTCAGATGGAGTCAGCAGTTTATTTGGACAGAGAAAACATACACATGTAGTTCCGGAATGAATCATAAAACTGCATGTTCGTTGCTACCATATATGACTTAGCTCTACAACTGCCTGGCTTACCAACGCACAGGCTCTGGAGCTACAGTGGCAAAGTACACCTTAAAAGTGGACAGGTTACTGGGGCAGGTAGGTAGTCAGGATCCAAGAAAGCTGGTTACAACATTGCTCGAAGCCTTTATAATTAGGTTATCAGAGGAGATTCAACCTACCCAGCTATCACAAATCTAAGGCAGAATTCCATGTCTACCATGTCAATCAGGAAGGGACCTACATATGTCAGACTCTAACTACAATTCTCTTAATTGGGTGGCTCGATCTTGACCTATTCAAAGGGGGTTTTAGGCGGTTTACCTGTATGAGTAGGGTGCCTATATTGGTACTCACATTCTGCAGCGAATATGTAGTAAAGACGATTGATTGCTGTCACCTATTGTTCAGCTGTGGGCAGTAAATATTGGTTGTACAAATTAAAAGCTGCCAGAAAATAAAAGGTGGGATTTTAACGTCAGGTTTCGCCATTGGCATGAATCACGACTTCAGTATAAACCGGTTCTAACCTAAGGCTTCTTGACGCAGTCACTACACAAAAACATTTATAATCGTCCTTACTTTCTTAGTGCCACTCTTGTGGTGGACATTGAGCAGCTGGTCTTTATTGATTCTCTGAGGGGGTCTAACCCTCGTGTAGACTGGTCCCAACCCAGCTCTGGGCGATCAAGTTCGTCGTTATTAGACTGCAAGCAGCGGTCTCATGCAAACATGAGGGCAGAGATATTCGATGTAAAAAATGCAGCGCACGAAATAAGAGGTGGGTTACGTTGATGTCCTTAAAGACTAAGTCAACAAGTGAGAACGTATATTGGGAGGAAATTAAATGAATTTCTCCTTCGCAATGTAACTGATGGCACTCTACTGCACATACCTCAGAGGGTATCACTAGGCATTATATGGTATTTTCGATACTCTGATCATCAAGATACAGGCACTGATATTGAATATGCATGTGCATCTTGAACTGATCACTTGGATGCTGATATGATCAATTTATACCCTATCAATGGCGTTGATTGCGGAGAAGAAAAAATTAGCTGGATCTGACTTGAGCTGGGGAAGCCGCACCCCTCACATTTATATCCGAGTAAGATATAATTCACGTTGTGAGGCATGTTAGCGGAATAGGTGCTAAGACACGTTACAGTGGCTAGTGGTAGCGATAAATCAAGCATATATGTTAGTTTTGAGATCCTGTGAAGTTAAGCTGCGGCACCGACTTGATCCAATCATCATCAATCATCATCACTCTCATCTTCCTGCATCCCAGCATTCAGAGCAATAGAACTTCTATGTAGACCCCAGATAGCGAGACCTCGATCACTAACAGCCTGAAAGCGTCTGGCATGTCTAGAGGGTTATTCAATCAAACTTTGACAGTTAAGGACCGCTGATGGACGGGCTGAAACAACTCCCCATGTAGGATCATCAGTGGTCACTCACCCGGTCGAGTGAGGCACCATGATTTGGTTGTATCCAATAGAACTGGACCGGCCACACTGTACAGTGTAACTACGCCTAGGTGGTGATTGTGGGAGGTTGCGTGATTATTGGTGTATTTTTATATGACTCTGGTCCTTCGTATCCGTCATCATCGAGAATGTTCCCGTGAGTGATGAAGCTAAAGTACTCGTACTATATTGAGTTCGCACAAGACTTGTTTGGGAGTTTTAAGAGGATTATTAGAGTTAGTAGGAACATCAACTTGAGGAATAATCCCTGCATAATCTTCAGCTGAGACCAAAATAAAACCCAAACCACCCAAGGTATCATTGACTCCTCTATGAAAAAAAAGATCTAAGCAATTAATTATAATACAAGCCCCTCTCAAGCCTTCACATCCTTCAACTCCTGCGCCGACTCCACCTCTGCCGCCTCCTTCTCCTTCCTCTCCCTCTCAGCCCTCTCCTTCTCCTCCTTCGCCCGCTTCTCCATCCTCTCACTATACCGGTCCGCAAACATATCAAAGCTCGGCCTCAACACAAAACTCACCCTCACCAACTCCTCACACACATCCACAAGCCTATCCCGATTCCCACTCTTCATCAGCCTCCCCTCATCCGTGAACTGCGTCCACGCCATTGGCAGACTGCTCTGGTTCGGGATCGTAAACATCCTCATCCACCTCCCCAGCACCCGCAGCGCATTAACCGTGTTGAAGCTCTGGCTGCCGCCGTTCACCTGCACGACGGCAAGCGTGCGCCCCTGCGTGGGGCGCACGCTGCCCGTGGCGAGCGGGATCCAGTCGATCTGGTTCTTGAACACGGCGGTCAGGTTGCCGTGCTGCTCGGGCGAGCACCACAGGTGGCCGTCGGACCAGTGCGAGAGCGTCCGCAGCTCCTGCACCTTCGGGTGGTCGTGCTGCACGTCGTCCTTGACGGGGAGGCCGCGCGGGTCGAAGACGCGCACGTCGGCGCCGAGGCGGTGCAGGATGCGGGAGGCCTCGTAGGCCATTTTGCGGGAGTAGGAGCTAGTCACATATTAACTATGGTATCCACCTAAATCAGACCCCAAGGACAGAGTAGATACCATTCACGCAACGACCCGTACAGGACCAGAAACTTCAACGGCTTGTAATCCTCCTTGCGCCTGTGCTCCTCCACAAACGCTGTGACAGCATCGAGCTCCAGCTCCGACACCCAGTCGCCCGCTGCCGCCGCCTCCTCCGAGAGCAGGAACGGCCGGTATTTCGCCGTGATCTCGGCCTCGGTGAGCGCGCTCAGGATCTTTGTGTCTCCGTTCATGGGGCCGGGAAGCGTTATTCTACGAGTTTGGGTGGTGGGTAGTGATAATGATAATGATGGGACGGAGAGTCTGGGTCGGAGGGAGAGGGGGAGCTGTAGCTGGGATAGAGTGCGGAGAGGGAGGAGCCGTGGGAGCATGCTGTGGATGGAGGGGACGAGGACGGTTGGCTGGTTTTATAGAGACCTCAGGTAGAGAGAGAGCTCACGGGGGCAGACATAGGATTGAGGTTTTGGGGGGGGGGGGGGGGGAGCGTATGAATTATGCTATTCGCCCGCAGGCCCTCTAACTCTGGCTATCTATCTAGTGACATGTCGAGCGGGAGAAAAAAAAAGAAATGTCCGGCGGCGGGTGGATTGATCGACAGGGCCCACATCGGACGGAAGTTTGGTAAGATCCCCCGGGCTGTCACCTGTGGGCCGTGATTGGGTGGCGGAATGTCACTGGCGGAGAAATTGTCACTGGCGGGGCGTGATTGGAGGGAAGAACTGGGCATGGGGTGTTTAGTAAGCCGTGACTGCAGCTACGCCGGGGCGGAAAAGGTGCGTTTTTGATGATTGGCAGCATCTCGGACACAAGCGCTCACTCGCTATTAACCCATCCTTGGTATTATAATTACACGAGAAAGAAAAAAATAAGAAAACACACAGCCAGACTTTTATATCTACAAACCAGATGATACAAACACAAAAAGAATATCCTCTTAACCTCTCTTGGCTCTCCTGATCTGTCTTTTCCTCGCGATGATTCTCGCGGCCTTTGCCTTCTTCTCGTCCTTCTTGGCCTCCCAGTCCTTCTTGTCGCCCTTCGAGGGAGCAGTCTCTGCATCGCCATCCTTCTTTGGCTTCTTTGCGCCCCGGCCACTCTTCTCGTCTTCCCGCTTCCGCTTGATGCCTTCATACTTCTTGGCCGAGTCGACCTTCTTCTTCGCCTCCGCCGCAAACTTTGCCTTCTTCTCCTTCGTGCTCTCCAGCGGCTTCGCCTTCCCCTCCGCAACAAGCTTACTGCGCTCCCGCGCCTTCTGCTCCTTCTCGTTGCGGCGCTGCACAACCTGCGCATTCTCGATCGCAAACTCGACAATCAGCCGCTTCTTCTTATCCTCGGCCGACACCGGCTCCTGCTTCTTCCCCTTCTCCGCCGTCGCCTTCGCCGTCCCCAGCACGGCATGCCCGTTCAGCCATCGCAGCCCCATCAGCGCCCAGCGGTGCGACGAGTACTCGATGAAGCCGTATCCGCGCGACCTGCCGCTGCCGGCCTTCTCCTCCACGATCTTGGCCTGCTTGACGATGCCCTTGCCCTGCTTCTTCCTGCGGAGCTCAGTCTCCTTGTCGTCCTTTCCGCCGCGGGCAAGCTCCTCTTTCGACAGCGGCTGGCGCTTCCCCTCCTTTGTGTCCTTGACGAAGCCGACAGCGGCCTCTCTGGCCAGCGCCTTCAGCTCCTTCGCCGTGATTGATCGCGGCAGATTACGCACCGAGAGCCTGGTCAGCGATAGATGCAGCATGGGGTTCGACTGCAGCAGCGCCTTACGCTGCTTCACCGACGCCTCGCGCAGCTGTCTCTCCGTGTTGCTGAGCGTCTTGAACGCCGGCGACGACGCAGGGATGGTCCCCTCCTGGAGCAGGAACAGGCGGCGCTTATCCCCCGCGGCCTTGTCGCGCTTCTGGGCGCTCGCATCCTGCAGCTTCGAGGCCTCGTTCTTGTTGACGGCGCGGGTGACCTGCAGCACGCGGCCATCGATGGTGTACTTCCCCGTCGGGTCGTCGGACTCGTCCTGCAGCAGTGTGGCAGAGCGATTAGCGCCCGTGGCGAAGTTGGGCCGCGGCGCAGAGGCAATGCAGGCCTCAAAGTGCTCGAGGTTGTAGAAGCAGACGAAGCCGGTGCCGCGGGGCCGCTCCGTCTCGCGGTCCATGACGATGCGCGCGTAGCGCACAGGGCCAAATTGCTCAGTGAAGTGGGCGTGCAGCGACTCGTCGTCGGTGGTGAAGGGGAGGTTGCGGATGAAGATGACCTGCGAGTTGTCGTTGGGGTCGTGCTTGAGCTGTGGCTTGGGCTCTTCGCCCTCCTCGTCGTCGGAGGCTTCGTCGTCGTCGGACAGGTGCAGGTCGGAGCCCTCGTCGTCGGAGGCGTCGGAGGCGTCGTCCATGTCTTCTGCGTCTTCGCCTTCGAGGACGCCGACGCCGCCGTTATCGTCTTCGTCTTCAGACTCGTCTTTGTCTTCAGACTCGTCTTTAGCCTCTTCTTTGGCCTCCTTCTCGGGGGCTTCGTCGCCCTGCTTGTTCTTCTCCCACTCGTCCTTCTCCACCGCCCAATCCACGGCCACCGTGCGGCCGTCAATCTCCATCCCGTTCGTCTTCTCCATGGCCTTCTCGGCGTTCTTGTAGCCCTTCATCGTCACAAACGCAAACCCGCACATCTCGGCCCCCGGCTTGCTGCTCTTCCTCGGGATAATGACATTGCGCACCTTCCCATAGCTCTGAAACACCTTCACCAGCTGCTGCGGATCCTTCACGCTCCACGGCAGATTACGGACAATCAGCCTGGGTGCCCGGCGCTTGACCTCCTCGGCCTCCTTCTTCTCCTTCTTCTCCTTGGACGCCTGCTTCCCGGCCTCGTCGCGGTGCCGCGGCTCCGCAATCTCAACGCTCATCTTGCGCCCGTCAAAGAGCGTGTTGTGCAGCTCCTTGACGGCGCGCCGTGCGTCCTCGGCCGTGGTGAACGTCACGAAGCCGAAGCCGCGGGACTGCTTCGTGAGCGGGTCGGCGACGACGGTGGCATGCTTGAGCGGGGCGATGAACGAGAACTTTGTGGAGAGGGCCTCGGAGGTGGCTGAGTAGGGAAGTGAGCGGATGAAGAGCGTGCGCCGCTGCTGCACGTCTTCGTCGGAGGCCGAGAGCGTCTGCTTTGTGCGGGAGGCGGCGATCACGGTTGTGGTTGCGGGGGCGTCGGGGAGGTCGTCGGAGTCGAGCTTGGTGCGTTTTGAGGGGGGGTCCATTTTGAGGGCTTGTGGTGGGGCAATTGGGGGGGTTTCAATTGCTGTGTATATTGAGATATCGTGGGTTTTTTGAGGGTTTGAAATTTTGAACTTTTTTAGTGTGGCAGTGGGCGGTAGGGTAACCGGCGGACGTGGGGGAAGTGTGGCCGTGGTGGGGGCGCACAGCCACATGACGGCCTGGACTCGATAACAGCTTCAGCGATAAGCTCTCAACCTACAAATACGTATTTACAGACAAACTCTCCCCCCACAAAACCACCACAACCACTACCCCTACAAATACACCCACAATGCACGACTACCGCTGTAAGCCCCCCCCCCCCCCCCCCCCCCAAACTCCCTCCCCAAATTACAACCCCAAGTTAACACCCCCACAGCGCACGCCCTCCTGCAACAACTCCCCCTCTCCGTCTCCCCCTTCATCCACCTCCCCACAGCCGTAACGCTCCCCTACACCTTCCAGACGCTCCCCAGCACGCTCCCGCCGGCCTCCCCCTCCCCACCCAGTATCGTCTCCCCCTCCGGCGCCATGACCACCACCCCGCAGGCCGTCATCCAGAGCTGCCAGAGCCTCGTCGCCCACCTGCAGGCGCAGCGCGAGAAGGCCGCCGCAGAGGTCGCCGAGTGGGAGAAGACTATCGCGGAGAGGGAGCTGAACGAGAAGAGGAGGGTTGCGCCGGGGTACTTGGATACCGGGATGAGAATGCTGGAGCCCGTGAGGAGGGGTGGTGAGCAGCAGCAGGGGGGTGAGGGGCTGAGGGGCGCGGAGGGAAGGGAGGGGGGCGAGGAGCTGGATAGGGTGTTTGGTAGGATGGGGGTGTAGCTGTAGGTTTCTTTTTTTTTTTTTTTTTTTTTTCTGGCTTTTTTTTTGTGTGTTTGTTGCGAGGGAGTTTGGGAGCGTGAGTGATAGTTTGTGATTGACGATGGCCAAAAAAGTGTAAATACGTATGGTAGTAGCATATGATACCCCACCAACCCACCCCACCTAGGATTTTTTTTTAATAAGCTTTTTTAATTCTTAGATTATCGATTTATATTACACGGCCTCATTGCAACCACCAAACCAAAGTCCCTATGAAGAACCGTGGACAGACAGGGCCATCGGTTGCAGGAAACGTAACCCATTCTGACCAAGATTCCTAGTTTCAAACACACGATAGAGCCAATTGGTTGTGATATCCGTGTGGGCCGTACCACTATCCCTGTGAACCCCGTGATAGAAATCGTTCGCACACTATACCAGACCGCCCATCCATTCTTTTTTTTTTTTTTTTTTTTTTTTTTTTTGGGGGGGGGGGTTGCATATTACTCAGAAGTCTTCCGGTCCGGCCCTAAGCGGTTTTGAAACTATTACTCGCATCATTCACTTGCAACGGCGCTACCATAACTGGGAAAGCTATGTATGTAGCTACGAGCACTTTGCCATAGCTTTTGGTCGCTGAGATAGATAAATCACTCCTTATCCCGCCGACGAGAAGTTGCTCCATGAGAGGCTTTTTTGGGGCCAGAGTTTACAGAGATTGTAGGAGTTGGTCCTGACGCGGGGTTGTAGTTTCTGGAGTGACGTTGGGGCTAGACAGTCGGTGAAATAAGCTGCTCTGTTGACGGTGGCCGTGGGGTCAGTGTTAATTATGTTGGCAGGCAGGTAAGGCCTGATGAAGGGAGAGCTGGGTTGGTTATCAAAGACGAAGTGGAGCTCTTGATACGATATTTCTATTCGTGTGCGCCGTGCACCAAGGTGCTCCACTCGGTAATGTTGGGTTATGATCTAGTATTCATGTCAGACGCACATACACAGCCTACTACTAAATGGCCTTGACTATGGCGTATTAGTGTGTGTGTACCTAGGCATCTTCATCTTCATCTGAATGTATTCCTCACCCAACCCGGATGAGTGGTGGTTGATAATTCCAGTACAGAGGGTCATTTCATGAGGAGCCTATCGAAGAACGATGGAGCATTTACAAGTGCTTCTAAGTAAATACCTTCCCTCGTGTGCACCATGGCATCTCAATGGTAACCGAGCACCGACAATACTCCAGCCAGTAACACAGAGGACTCTGGATCACTGTTCACACCACCGGTGCCTTGTGCTTGTAGGCACTACCTTTAATTTCCCAGACCGCCTAGACTCCGTTCAGGCCGATTGTAACCTTACAATCGAGTAGAGCCAGAGACTACCCACGAATAGTGTGGTGAAGGTGCGGGATAGCTCGCTAGTATCAGGTCATATTTCAGATGGGTAGATGTAGCTATCTCTTGGTAGTTAGTAGCCAGCGGTTCCACCAATGGGGCATCAATTTTCATCCGATTGTATGGTAGGAATTGACGGGCATGAGTTACATCCTAGGATGATAGGACGTAGAGGGTGACGTAGTAGGGGAAATATAGAAGCAGTACGTTTGTGCAGAGCCACAGGAGCGGGTAGCTGGGAGTTGTAACTCTTAATGGGTAGCTTGTTGGATCCGCGGAGAGTGAATGATTGCGAACAGATATATAATTGGGAGCGAGTAACTGAAAGGGGGGGTGGGGGCTGCTTCTCAAGCGTCAACGATTTTTTTTTTTTTTCCTTTCTTTTTTTCTCAAGGCCTGTATTTAATATTTTTCCTATAACCTCAAATTTTCTTATCAGCTTAAAGTTTACTTGGTCGGGGACGGGCGGTGGAGTAGGGATTCGTGTCCAGATATTTGTGGAAGAAATAGTACATATCTTGGGTACAGCTTCAGCAATGACAAACTGTCCTCAATCATGCCGTATAAAGCTGGAAGGTCTAGTAGTCCTCTCAACATCATCACGGCCTCTTCTCTAATTCTCTCATCCAATCCCTTCGTTCGTGCCCGCGATTAACATAGGATAGCCGAGTTGATATTCAAAATCCCTAACTGCTACAGGGAGTGGATATCCTCTAGGAGTGGAAAGATGTATTGAAAAAGAGGTCACAAACTGCGACTTCGAGCCTAAAGAGGTTCGCGGAGTGTGGTTAGGTGTGCTAGAGATAAAAGTCCCTGGAACAAGTTAAACACCCCCAATAGCCACGCACTGCCTTACAGCACCTGTATGTTCGATCATTGACCCTTGTTCACTGTATATCAGAAGCTAATATGTACGACCTATGGGTGCGAGCCTAGGAGAAATATCCTACCTGCCAAGAGATAATCATGCATATGTCTTGTCAGAGAGTGGTAATGTTTATGAAATACCACTGACGTAAGGTCATTGATATATATGTCAATATGGAGTCATATTTTAAGTCTCCTTGCAATTGGCATGAAGTTTATAAAGTCAGGTAAGTCACCTAAGAAAGTCAAGATCTTCCGCATATATATACCTTCTTTTATTCCTAGCAAATCCAAGCCTATAGGTGTTGTGCACGTACCTATATGTGTTGGATCTCACTTTTAACTCGCCGAGTGCGATATTATGATCCAATTCGAGACCACCAAATCCTCGGACATATCTCTACACTCTGTGAGTAACCAACGCAATTATCTGAGAATATACCCTCGCAATATATAGCATTTTCTAATATCCCCGAGCTCCCCAGCTGCCGTGCGCTCCCCCACCGCCGTTGCAGGACTAAACAAGAGCCTCTTCTTGGCAAGCACTAGGGTCCGCAGAGCCTCCCAATTTTTTTCCACAGGCTCTCAAACCCCCACCACCAACTGAACAATCTCGAACCTCACAACCTCACCTCCACGAATTGTCACGAAACAGGGCAATTACATATAAAACAGACATGACGACAGGCACGCCCCCTCTCAAGTTCACCACACACGCCTCTCTGCGCCGGCGCCTTCTGCTCGCAACGCTCACAGGCACACCTGTGCACATAAGCTCCATCCGCCCCAACTCCCTCAAACCCGGACTCACGCCCTCCGAATTCTCCCTCCTCCGCCTGCTCGACACAATCACCAATGGCTCCCACATCACCATCTCCGTGACGGGCACCACTCTCCTCTTCGTCCCCGGCCTCATCTCCGGGACCAACAACACCCAGCTCACACACACGCTCCCCGAGAACTGCACCCGCGGCGTCACCTACTACCTCGAATTCCTCGCCCTCCTCGCCCCCTTCTCAAAGACCCCACTCAACATAACCCTCAACGGCGGCGTCATCACAAGCGCCACAGAAGACGACTACTCCGTCGACACCTTCCGCACCGCCGTCCTCCCGCTCTACGCAAACTTCGACATCACGCGCAACATCGAGATCCGCATCCTCGCCCGCTCCTCAGGCCCCGTCGGCGCCGGCGAGGTCCACTTCGTGCACGGCCACCAGGTGCGCCTCCCGCGCACCCTGCACCTGCAGACCCCCGGCCGCGTGAAGCGCATCCGCGGCGTCGCATATGTCAGCGGCGTGAGCGCCGGCAACAACGCGCGCATGATCGAGGCCGCGCGCGGCGTGCTCAACCGCTTCCTGGCAGACGTGTATGTATACAGCGACGTCAAGAGCGCGCAGACGGTGCCGGTGGACTATGGGAAAGAGGGGGCCATCGAGAAGGCGCGCGGCGGGGTGCGCGCCAACGGGCGGACGCGGAAGATTGGTGTTGGCTTTGGCATGGCGCTGGTGGCGGAGACGGGCACGGGCGTGCTGTATAGTGCGGATGCGTTTGCGGGGCCTGCGGAGCCGGCGGAGGATGTGGGGAGGAGGGCGGCGTATGCGTTGCTGGAGGAGATTAGGATTGCGGGCGCGGTGGGGAGGACGGGCGTTATGACGATGCTGACGATGATGATGATGGGGGTGGAGGGGGATGTAGGGAGGGTGGTGGTGGGGAGGGAGGCGGTGGGGGAGGAGTTTGTCGGTGTGGTCAGGGACCTGAAGTCGTTCTTTGGCAGTGAGATTGCCGTGAGAGACGGCGAGGGCGGCAATCTCGTGGTGACGATAGTGGGCAAAGGCGTGGGCAATGTGGGCAGGAAAGTGGCCTAGAGAGCTCTATATCAAGTACTCTCACCATGTAATGAATCCTTATTGTAATATAGATAGTCCATGAATAAAAGTTCTGCATTCCTTTTTCCAGCACCACGATCATTGACCCTATAGCTTATAAAATTGACTCTATTTGTTCCATCTATTGTTTCCCCAGCGCAAGAGAAGAGAAGAGAGCATCGATTTTTCTACAATAATATACAAAAATAACAAAACGCCCCCAACACAGCCCACCCAACCTTCTATCTACACCCCCCCCCCCCCCTCTTCCCCTTCCCCTCTCCCTCCACTAACCATGCTTCTCCAGAAACTCCTTCGCCTCATTAACCTTTCCCGCCAAATACGGGCTGCCCCCGCGGTCCGGATGGTTCAGTAGCATCATCTCGCGATGCCGCTTCCGGATATTCTGCTTCGTCATGTTCCGCTCACTGTCCACCACCACCATCATTAGCCACCTCCATCCACAAAAAAAAAAGAAAAGAAGAAAGCAAGATAGCCCCATACGCAAGCTGCAGAATCAAAATGGCCTCGCGGCGGTTCATTTTCGGCTCGAAGCCGCCCTTGTAGAAGGCCTTGCCAAAGGCGCCCGCTACGCCGGCGCCGGAGGTGGCTTTGTATCTCTTGAAGGCTTGCAGGCCGATGCGGCCCTGTTTTTTGTCTTGTCAGTCGCTGGGATTCGAGTAGAGGGGGGGCCAGGGGAGGTACGTACAGCGAGGGCTGTTGGAGCGGCCAGAGGAGAGGGCGGCTGTTAGTTCGGTTCTGGTGGTGGTGAGAGTGGGAGAGACATACCGGCGCCTGCGATGCCGCAGCCGATGAGGATTGCGCTTGACATTGTACTGCTGCCGCCGTTCTCGGTTTCGGGTGCTGAGGTGGTGGTGGTGGTGGTGGTGGTGGGTGAGGTTTGGTCTTGGTCTTGCTCGTGGTCCGTCTGCATTTGGTGAGAGGTGAGAGGTGAGAGGTGAGAGTGAGAGATATCGACACCCGGGGGCGGCGGCCGGGCTGGGCCGAAAACCAAATTCTACTTTACATAGCAGCCCCACGCCAAGGTTGGTGTGGTGGGTGGTGCGCCAAGACCCCGCTACCAGGGCGAGCAGAGGGAAAGAGAAAAAAAAAAAATGTTTGGTGCAAAGGTGTGAAAGCTTGTAACTATCACCAACGACAACGACAACGACAACAGCCAGCCAGCTACAACTACCACGACAGCTGCTGCTTGACAAAGGGCGCAGCAATAGACAGATAGACAGAGCAGATAAGAAGAAGGAGGAGGAATTGGTAGAAGGGGAAAAGTAGAGAGACATAGTTTTTAATTCAAGATGAGGATCCACCAGTGTCACTTCTGGTACGTTTTTTTTCTTTCTCTTTCTACAATTGCGATTGCGATTGCGATTGTGTCGCATGGTCCCCCTCCTTCCCCCCATTCCCCCCCCTCTATGGAAGAGAACAAGAATGCTAATGCGAATCACATATACAGTTCGGGGCCCATATACCCCGGCCACGGCATCATGTTCGTCCGCAACGACGCCAAAGAATTCCGTTTCTGCCGCTCCAAATGCCACAAGAACTTCAAGATGAAGCGTACCTCCCCCCTCCCCCCTCAAAACCACCCCGCACTAACAAACCCGCCCCACAGGCAACCCGCGCAAACTCAAATGGACCAAAGCCTTCCGCAAGTCGGCCGGCAAAGAGATGGTCGTCGACACCACGCTCACCTTCTCCGCGCGGCGCCACGTGCCCACCCGCTACTCTCGCGACCTCGTCGCCAAAACACTCACGGCCATGCAGCGCGTCGAGGAGATCCGTGCCCGCCGCGAGCGCGTCTTCTACCGCAACCGCATGGCGGGCAACAAGCAGCGCGAGCGCGAGGCCAACAGGAAGCTGGTTGCCGAGAACCAGCACCTGCTGCCGCGGGACCAGCGGACGGATGCTGTTGCTGCTGAGGCTGCGAAGGAGGCTGATGTGGTGAGTGAGGATGGCATGATGGATGTTGAGAGCGAGGAGGAGGAGCAGCCAGAGTTGGTCAAGGTCAAGGTGAAGGTCTCGAAGAGGAGGCAGAAGGTTGGTGCGGGTGATGGGATGGATGTGGATTGATTGGGCTATAAGGTGCTATCTTCTTTCTCTCCTTTTCATACGTAATGGGGTGCACTATTTGATATATCAAAAGTCTGTTTTTTTTGTTTTCATTTTTGCAATCTGGGGACCGGATCAAATGTTGATGGGATTGATACAATATCAAAATGGGGCAGGCTTGGTATAGGGTTAGGTTTGCAACTCGTTCAATCACTCGGTGCAAGGCACAGGATGCGAGAAACAGTGCCTGCATTGTAATTACCAAATAGAATGCAACAAAATTCAAATAACACTATTTTCACATGTAACAGAAAACCAGACACAAAAATTCAATACACGCAAGCAAAAAAGAACTACAGCTACAACCTGGTATCCCAACCCTTGGTTTCGATCCTGGCCCGTGAAAGAAGAGGGTTAGAAAAGCAGTGCTCCTGTCTTTCGCTAGATTATCATATTCCTCCCTACCAATCCCATCCGTTTCATCCGTTTCCCATGCTTATAAGACCAATAGAAGTGCGCCGCGCCACCACTGTAGTACACAAAAGATTACATTGATCGTCCTTTATTTCTCATTTGCTTCTGCCATGACGTCCACAAGATCCGGGACGTTTTTCTTTGCCAGCAAAAGAAGCCCAGCCTCGTTGTTAACTTAACATGAGACGTCGGTCGAGGCCTTGGCGTTCATCAGCAGCGCCACGATCAATCCGTACAATCCCAAAACTTCGGCGAAAATCAAAATCAAGATCATTCCGACGAAGAGTCTTGGCTGCTGAGCTGTACCGCGGACACCAGCGTCACCGACAATACCGATTGCGAAACCTAAGGAACTCGCGTTAGCACCACCTGAGGGTTTACCAATAAAGTATCAATGGACATACCAGCAGCCAAACCAGCAAGACCAACGGAAAGACCAGCACCAAGTTGGATAAAGCTGGTGTAGAGTGAAACTCTTTGTTGTAGGCCAGATGATACCAATACAGAAACGACAAGCCCGTAAATACCGATGATACCAGCCATGACAACGGGAATAATGTCTTAAAAAACGCATTATCAGCATCGACGTTCGAGTTTAAAATAGGTCCGATCTTGACACTGTTTTCACAAAAAGCAAAAAAAAAAAAAAAAAAGAAAGACGGGACGAGAAAGAAGAAGGAAAAACACAGGGGAAAACATACTCCTGACGATCAAGTCGGGTCTCAAAACACCAGCAGCAACGATACCAACACCAGCCTTCGCGGTTCCGTAACTGGCACCAAAGCAGGTGAAGACAATGGCGGCTGTGCACCCCATGGCACCGAAAAAGGGCTACATTTCGCGTCAGTCAAATTCCGTGTTGTTAGTATCCAAGCTATGACTATAGCGAAGATTCGAGGAGAAAGTCGGGTAAATTGGGCTGTTGTTGAGATTCAGTGGTCGCTTGTCGCGTCAAGGGACACATACCGCATAAACAGGACTATAGAGAAGACAAAAACACGTTAGCAGGCGATTCTTTCAAAAGACTACGACAAATTCCATTTTCTTCAAGCAGATCCGTGACAATCGCCAGAAGCTGACGGTCTTGCCTTACGCCGAGATCCGAAAGGGGCCAATACAGGTGTTGTGGACTTACCAGAGATCAGTCATTTTGAGTGTTGTAGTATTTTCGTAGAACGTGAAAGGTAAAGTATATAAGTCAAAACGAAGGGTTGTCGTTAAGTCTGTAAATGTTGGGTTGGCTGAAAGGTTCTGTAGGGAAGGTGGTTGGAACTTGGAGATGAAGACGGAGAGGCTTGCCTGGGTTGCCGCTGAAGGTTGATGGGTGGCTTAAACCACCGGATGACGACGTGTAAACTTGGCTTCTTAGAAAGCGACAGCAAATACACGATTTTTGATTGGAGTTTTAATCGAATTACACTAGATTATTATGCCTGCAAAATCAGAGTTTTTAATACATATTTTAAATCGCTCTATACCTTCGGTATTTTAGGGCACGCCCTGATCTTGACAGGGATCCTCTCGAAATCCTAGCGAGAAAAAAATATTACATTTAGAGCCTCACCAAGATCGTTCATTCAACCTTCATCCACCACCCACCACTTCCCCAAATAAACAGTTAAAGGGCGAGCGTCCGAGCAAGGAACCCTTTGCCTCTCTTTGAAGAATCTACAATACAAAAACGAAGTCAAGATGTCTGCCCCGAACCCGAAAGGTATGTTCTCGCAATCGCAGTTCCACCTTGTCTCACAACATTTAAGTCAATCGTGCTTGTAATAATAACTAACATTTTCTCGTAGCTTTCCCTCTCGCCGACGATGCTTTGACCCAGCAGATTCTGGATATCGTCCAGCAGGCATCTCACTACCGTCAGTTGAAGAAGGGTGCTAACGAAGGTATTTTCACCCCACTACTCTCACCTCAGCATTCCACTAACGCCTAGATAGCCACCAAGACTCTCAACCGTGGTATCTCGGAGTTCATTGTCCTTGCTGCGGACACCTCTCCTCTTGAGATTCTCCTCCACCTCCCGCTTCTTTGCGAAGACAAGAACGTGCCTTACGTTTTCGTCCCCTCCAAGATCGCTCTCGGACGTGCATGCGGTGTTTCACGTGCTGTCATCTCTGCCTCCGTTACCTCTAACGAGGCCTCAGAGCTTCAAGGACAGATTAGAAGTTTGAAGGACAAGATTGAGAGGCTGCTCATCTAAATTTAGTATTTAATGATTTTGGGGCGAATGAATAAACAGCCGCTTTTGTATTTTTACTAGCTCCAATAAGTAGCTCTTATCGACAAGCAACACTCTGGGATAGATAAAAATTTGTTGATCTCGTTTTTTTGTATCGTGAACAATAAATTTGTGAGGAATAAATTTCTCCCTTTACGAGGAAACGAAATTCACACTTTATGCGGGGTATACATATGAAGAAATCTCGAGTATATTGCATATCCAAGTGTGGCCAATGTTCAAATTATCCCTATCCCCGCTGCATATATATATTTGTGGATTCACTCAAAGTTCAAATAACCTCTACAAACGACAATATGCCCCACGAGCATAGTAAATCCTTTACATGGCAGCACCAGAGATGAAGAACCACTTGTCGATGCTCGGGTCAATGGGAGCGGGTGCAAGGTTTTCTCCATGAGGAATCGGGGGGAGCGAGCTGGGGTCAACGCGGTGATGGCCGGACTGGGAAACAGTCAAGTTGGTACTGTATTTATCATGGTTAGTTGATCCTATGAAACATAGATGGTTGGGTTAACTTACAGAGAGATGCTATTGGGGTCGCTCTTTCCAGTGATCAATTTCTCCCAGGCCTCAGCACACTCACGGATGACATCAGTAGCGTACCTGCATGGAATATTAGTAATGTTGTACAACGTTGACTGTCAAGGAATGCTCACTTCTTGTTTTTGCATTCTCCAGAGAACGCGAACTGGTTCTCAGGCTTGCCATCTGGGATCTTGTAGATACGGAACCACTCATTTGTGGCCCTGAGGAGGCCAGGAAGGTGACGCTCCACATCCTCAATATCATTAAGCTTAGGGGCCAACGGGTCGTTCACGTCAATGACAATGACCTTCCAGTCGGTCTCCTCCTCGTCAAGAAGAGCCATAACACCCAAAACCTTGACCTGCTTGATCTGACCAGCGTATCCAACGGTCTCACCGATCTCGCAAACGTCGAGCGGGTCGTTGTCACCCTTGGCCTTAGTCTCTGGGTGGATGGTGGAAGGGTCTTCCCAAGTCTGGGGGAAAGCACCGTAGTTCCAGAGGTAACCCTTGTGAGGGAAGCAGTTGCGGACAAACCGGATCTTTCCCTTCTTTACGTCCTGCTTGATGGGGTTGAGAAGCTCCTCCTTGGTGATCTATGAGGTTCGTTAGTATTTGTGAATCTCGCTCGGTTTGTGGGGTGCAAACCTCAAGCTTTCCATTAGTCCAGCGAGGAATCTCGACAACCATGTTAAGAATTGTCTTTTGCTCACTATTTCCATGGTGTTAGAGTTTTTACAACAGAAGTGGCTTCGAATTAGAGCACTCACTTGGCGTAGAGCGGGATATCGTGGAAGGGAGACACTGGGACACCATCTTTTTCGATGAAAATGCGGTGTTCTAGAGTTTCACAGTCAATTAACCCATATCTTAAGATTGAATCTGATGTCACTGAACACAATACGTACCAAGGGTGTTGGGAACCCCAATCTTTCTGACGGAGTAGGACATTTTGGCTGAAGGGTTAGACAAATGCCTAGCAATCTTAACTAATAATTAGTTACCATATCAATACACAATTGGAAAGGAAATAATACCAATGCACTTCTGGATGACAGCTTGAAGAATTGAGTAGCCGGACGAGCAGTAGCTAATGTCGAGGAAAAAGAAGGGAAAGAAGAAGAAGGAACAAGTAGGCGGGGTAACATGGTATTGCCAGCCCGTGTCTGGGAGGGGAAGCGGTGGCTTGGCAACGCACTCGGACGGACAACAGGAAGGCAGCAATTGCGTGCTGTAGCGAGAGTTTGAGAGTTCGAAGCTTCAATGGAAGGTTTCGCGTGATTTATCGGCAAGCTGGGACTATCATTCCAGGCCTGTCACTCGACAGTCATGAGAAGAAAATTATTTGTCTGGGCTTCTTTAGCGTGTTTGCTCGCCAAAACACTCCCGATTCATAGGTTATCACTCATCAGGTTTCCACAGGCCCTTTGGACTACCACGAACAACACCCCTTGCCACAAATTCCAAGTGCCTTTTCCTGAATGGGCATTAATCCCTATTATATAACCTTCTAATAAAGCCAGGAGTAGGTACAGTTATGATAAAAATGAAAATAACATATTTAGCGGCCTCGAGTGATTAATCCAGGTAATATACAAACCTTACGCTAAAAACCAAATTGAAATAGATTCTAAAAGGAGATGTTCAGATTATCACTCGGAAACACCAATAGTGCTGCCTTATGTCTGATCAGTAAACCAACCACCCCACAGGCGATTTGTAAAGCTGTAATGCCCATCACAACTTTATCCTCCCTCATAGGTCCCATTTTTACAATCCATAAGTTGAGGATAGTCAGATTATTACATTCTGTAATCACCCCATTTCCGCTTCTCCAGACCTGTACTAACCCGACCTTCTCCAACGTCGTCAACATGAGTGCGATATACCATTTTGGTGGATTCGGAAACTCGGCGCGGGAAGCTTCCATTAGCCCTGTCTGAACGCGAAAACGGGGGAGCCTGTGACGTGGACAAGGAATGAGGTGGAATAGTTGTGGTGCGGAGTACAAAAAATTGAAGATTTGTGGTATAAATAAAAGGAGGAGAGTCTTTGAAAAATGGCCGAGTATCCCAACAACAGCGAAAGTCATGCCTGCAAAGTAGCAGAATGTATCTCCAACAAACACTTTAGATGGGTATGAATTGTGCCACCATAGTGCAATTGATACACCCAGAAACGGAAGAAGAAAGTAGAGCGAGAATAGATGCGAATCGGTCGCCGGGTGGCCTTTAACAGAGATATACAGCAGATCATTGAGCGCGATAAAGCAGGCGATCACGATACTTTGCGTAACTTCGATACCATTAACCCCAGCTAGGATATTGATTGAATTTGGGCAGAAAATTGCGATAGCAGCCATATAGACATAGTATCCCCAAGATAAGTCTAGAAGTGCAGTCCCGAGATATGGTTGAAGCGGCGTAGGTACAACGATATTGGTTACGCCAAAGTCGACATAATAGATCATGAGCATTGGGATTGCTGCTATAGCTGGTAGGAAGAATTTGTGTCGCCAGCGGACATCAAAAAGATCATCAGCAACACCAAGGATGACCATTCCCTGGAGGGAAAGCAGTGCTGAGAGATATTCGCCAAGTTTATTGTGTGGAAATCTGTGAAGTAGCCGTCCAGTCTCGACCTCCTCGAGCTCCACGGTGACGTCCCGGTTCCCCCCGCCACTTGTACTAGCGACAAAGTACTCATAGAAAGGAAATGGCATGAATACGATCATGGTCATCAAGTAAACCACAGCACATACAGCGCCCATGGTTTCTGGTCTAAACATTTAGAGTCAGTTTCGCTGCTCCAAAGCCTCTCTTTCCACTTGTTCCATGGGGTTTCTTACAGCTCTCTCCGATCTGGCTTCGATATATCTCTCCCCTTGAATCCAACTTTTTTGAAAGCATCCCCGAGCCAGCTAATCAGGCAAAAGGTTGCCGCGAATGCAATTCCACTGAATCCCAACGATGCAATAAGTGGTTCTCCATCACCTATGAAGACAGTGTATATCAAGCCGCAACATGCGCCGACAAGAGTGAAAAGAAAAAAATACCAGCCGGTAGAGATTTTTTGTGACATTGCGATGCTGCTAGTATAGGGAACCCCCCGGTGTACATTCGTTTCGTTTGGGGGTGAAAGGATGGCATTGGTAAACTACATGTAGCGAGTGACGCGGAGGACACGTTGAGGCTCTGGAAAATGCCAAGACTCAATTAACGATCATAGTGTATCACTCGACGGAAGTCTCCGAGCATCAGGGACAGGTTCACTGTAGTACAACGTGTGCCAGGAAGTGGTTTCTGCGTGATATCTGAAGTTCTCAAAAATTCACAAGTAAAGAAACAAAAAAAACCCTAGCCATACACCTTTTGAGAAACAAGAAAAGATTGATCTTTTTTTGGAACATTCGTTTATCACATAACGACCAAACCAAAGCGCATATTTATTTATTTTTTACCATCCATCTTCACCGCCCGCCTCAGCCTGAGAGGTCTGTGCAGGGTACTCGGTAGTGGTGGTAGCGTACACAATAGGGGCAGATTCGGTGTAGTCAGCGGCGGCAGCACCCTCGTTACCAGTCTCGACACCAGTCTGCTCCTCAGCAGCCTGCTCCTGAGCAGCAGCCTGGGCAGCGGCAACGCGAGCAGCCTCAGCCTTGGCACCCTGTATCACACGTCTATCAGCACTTTTCGGTTATTGACGATATGAACTCTAGAGCACTTACATAGTCCTGGGATGAAGGTTGCCCGATAGGGGCCTCCTCCTTGGGCTCGATAACAGTGACAGAGTCGGGAAGATTCTTCTGGAGTCCTGCCTTGCCATCGGGGTCGCTTCCGCGCATAATCTTGACCTTGATACCGAGCACACCTTGTCTGAGAAGGACGTGGCGGGTAGCAGAGTCGATAAAGTCACGGGCGGGCTGACCAGAGTGGATCATGAAGCCGTCCTATAAGAAATCCCAATAAGCTTCAAACTTTCTAGCCCAGTTTGCCTCGGGACCATCGGTTATGCCCTCTTCGCGCCCTGATCCCGCCCAATGATAAACTTACAGTGAACTTCATTGACTTAGCACGGGCAGCTCTCAGCTTTCCGGAGACAACAACTTCACAACCCTTGGCACCGGATTCCATGATAAATCTCAAAACACCATAGCACGCACGACGGACAGCAAGACCATTGAGCAACTTGTAGCGGAGGGACTCGCACTGGGCGACGGCGCAAAGACCACGGTTCTGGACCTTAGCAGCGTAGAGAGAAACGGAGTTCTCAGGGAACTTGAAGCGCTTCTGGATGAGCGAAGTAAGCTCACGGATGCGGCGTCCCTGCTCTCCGAGAACCTCCTGGGTGTGGGTGGCACGGATAACTATCGCATATTAGTCGATATATCGTACCTCCAGCATACCTCCCATTCAAAGGTCGTAAAAGGTCGTAGAAAGAACATACTGATATCGGTGACGGTCGGGGTGACGCGGACCTCAACACCGGAGTAACCCTCCTCGGCCAACTCACGAGTGAAGAACTCGTTCAACTCGGCGTAGAAAACACCGTCCGCAACGAACTTGCGACGCTTGGAAATGGTTTGCGACTGAGCGGAGCTGTGGCCAATATATCCATCAGCATTTCATTCTTCCCATCCCTCCATATTTCCCAACCAATTTCTCGCAAACCGGGATGGTGAAGCTTACGCCATATTTCTGGATTTCTCGTGAGAATTAGACGAGTATTTTGGCGTATTACTAGGGTCGTAGGGTGTTGTCGTTCGTCGGTGGTGGGGCGGAAATTCGAGGATTGAATGTTTTGGTGGGCATTTCTCGAATTGTGTGATTTGTGTGGTAAACCGCAAGGGCTGAACCCTAAAGCTTACTGCAAGGAGTCACACTTAGGACCGGGTAACCTTCGATTTGTCCCAAAAACTGAATGTCAGAAAACCAGAAATTTCACTTGAACCAGTGCTGCCAGGGGGTTGAGTCTTGGTAAATATAAACTATTTTGCATCTCTATTGATGAGAAAGGGCTTGATGTACCTACATGTATTATACTGCTGTAACGGAATCGATTTGACTATGTACTCTATGCGGGTAAGTCAGGGAATGTGGTTGCCATCATAATTAATATGTATAGGGTTAGGTTTCATAAATGTGGCTAGTACTGAGCTGCAACGTACCCAGCCACATTGCCCCCTCGGTAAAAGCTTATACATAGCAACCAAGAACAGAGGTGAGCTGTAAAGACAAGACTCCCGGGCTCAGGAACCACCCTCAGCGTTCGAAGAGCTCTCTTACATTTTCGTCTTCCCAGCAGCATACCACTATACTCTTTTCGCACAGACACTATGGCTTCTGCTCTCTTCTTCCTTGATCTCAAGGGCAAGGTACATATCCCCAGCTAATGTTGAGGTTAACCGTGGCTGAATGTTGTCTGTAGACCCTTCTGGCTCGAAACTACCGGGGAGATATCCCTATGTCAGCGGTTGAGAAGTTTCCCATCCTTCTTTTAGAAGCTGAGGAAGAAAGCTCTGCGGTTCCACCATGTTTTTCTCACGAAGGGATTAACGTATGTTGCCAGTCACCCCACCTGCACCCCGCGACGAATGTCTTAGATATTGATGTTTCTCTGGAGGATGGATAGTATCTCTATATACGGCACAACAATCTCTATGTTCTGGCTCTCACGAAGAGGAACTCCAATGCGACAGAAATACTGCTGTTTTTACATCGGATAGTTGAGGTTTTTACTGAGTACTTTAAGGAGTTGGAGGAGGAAAGTATTAGGGACAATTTCGTTATCATCTACGAGCTGCTAGATGAAATGATGGATTTTGGATATCCGCAAACTACTGAAACCAAAATTCTTCAAGAGTATGATTCCCTACATCCAGTCTCATGCGCTTAGGTGATGACGCTAACCACCACTATCCGATTCAGATATATTACCCAGGAATCTCACAAACTTGAGATACAAGCCCGACCTCCGATAGCCGTAACTAATGCTGTTTCCTGGCGATCCGAAGGTATTCGGTACCGAAAGAACGAAGTTTTCCTTGACGTCATCGAATCTCTCAACCTCCTTGTTAATAGTAATGGAAACGTCTTGCGTTCGGAGATTCTGGGAGCCATCAAGATGAAGTGTTACCTCTCCGGTATGCCGGAGTTGAGGCTAGGATTGAATGATAAAGTGATGTTTGAAAGTACAGGAAGGACAACGAGAGGGAAGGCAATTGAAATGGAGGATGTTAAGTTTCACCAGTGTGTGAGGCTTTCCAGGTTCGAAAACGACAGAACCATCAGCTTTATCCCACCAGACGGAGAGTTTGAGCTGATGAGCTACCGGTTGAACACTCAGGTTTGACCCCAGACTTAATATCGCCGACATTAGAGGTAAAACTGATGAACTGGTCACGATAGGTTAAACCGCTAATCTGGGTTGAATGCATGATTGAATCTCATTCTGGCTCCCGAATCGAATACATGCTGAAAGCAAAGGCCCAATTCAAACGTCGTTCTACAGCCAACAACGTTGAGATCATCGTCCCTGTTCCTGATGATGCTGACTCTCCCCGTTTCCGTACTAATATCGGATCGGTCCACTATGCTCCCGAGAAGTCTGCTATCATTTGGAAGATCAAGCAATTCGGCGGAGGAAAGGAATTCCTTATGAGAGCAGAGCTTGGTCTCCCGAGTGTCAAGGAGGCAGAACCGGAAAGGAAAAAGAGGCCCATAAGCGTTAAATTCGAAATTCCATATTTCACCACAAGTGGTATTCAGGTGAGATACCTGAAGATTATCGAGCCAAAGCTGCAATACCCTAGCTTGCCTTGGGTGAGGTATATTTCTTGCGCTTCAGGTAGGTCACAAATCCTTTCAGCTTCAAAGCATATTGCTGTACGAATTTACTGATCACTGGTGTAGATTATCACGTTCGCCTTCCGGAGCCAACCCAGACCTAATGAAATGGAGAAGAGCGACTCGTCAAGTGTTTTGTATCGCAGAAGTCTGGATATTAGAGGTTGGAGGCATGGTTTTTGTTATGTATATAGATAACCCGGTTACGGTTTCATGTTGGCCTAGCGATTTATTTCTATCGAGTTTCCGCAAGAGCAGGTTAATTGTCTTACAGTTCCTGTACGTCTTGGCTCGGGTATTTGATTCAAAATCGGTATAAATGCCGTGCCATCACAAACTAAATCCAGGAAAATAGATGCGCGATAATAAGAAGGCTCGCCCTGGCCATTCTAAACATCAATGCCAGATATTTGCGCTCAATACTTCTGTATTATCATCATTCAACTCCAATTCCAACATATATAACATGCGCTTCCCTCTACCTTTATGCCACCATTTCCTTCCAACATCCTTAAAAACCTAGTTCTTCTTTTTCCCTTGAACTGCAGCCTTCGCTTTCTCCTTCGCAGCCTTCTTCCTCCCGCTCCTGATCATAACGACGCTCAAGAAACTGCCAACTACAGCAATTCCAATAAGGATTAGGATCACTGGGATGCGAATAGCCCAGACGCGTGGGGGAAAGAGGTCATGGAGTGGGTGACCTTCGTCAACGAATGGCTACCACAAACATCTAATTAGCTAGTGGCCAAAGAGGAAAATAAAGAGACAAAGCGGAGCATACAATAAATAAAGTCCAGACAGTATAGTACAGGAAAACAGCGGATGCGATAAGGAGCATCATCAGGCCGGTAAGCTTGGCGAGCTGTTTATGAATATTGTCAGGAAATCTTAACTTCTGCAGCCTTCTGTTTCTCTCCCCTCTGCAGGTGACGATTGATTTACCATGATTTGTTAGAATAGAAGCACAAAAAACAGGCGCAAAATGGCTAGAACACAGCGAATCCAAGAATTTCTTTGAATAGAAAAAGAGCGTAGTTGAGTAAGAGAAAGGAGTGGAAGCTTGTATTGAATGCGAGGTTGGAATAAGCTCAGGGGGCTACGCGTGCATAGCAACCTGGCCTTTGGTGGTATGAGGCTCTGTCCTGGGATGGAAAGTGCTTTGACGTGTGGATATTTGAGAATGGTTAACAAAATAGGTGAGTGACCTTTTGTGATGCTGTCCTGAATACATGCACTTATATGTGTACGACCTAGTATAGATACGAGAGTATCATGTATACATATCCTTACATCTGTCGTGGTGAAGTAAGAATCTCGAAGGGAAACTACATGTACTTACATAATAAGAACGAGACCTGAGAATTGTGGAGTAGGATGGAATTTCTGAGAATAGAATTCTGATTCACATTTTAAAATCTGTGATTCCATATTAGATCCACGCATTAAGCGTTATAACTGCATGTACTACTTCAATTTATATGAAGTCAGGTAGCCGTTTGAAATTGCACCTCACAATACCGTACGCACCTAGTGGTTGGAACAACCCTAGCCCTGGCTACAGGCCTTTACGCGACGCGTCCTCCCAACCACCTGTTCCCAAATCCGTCCGTGAAAGCGTCCACGTCTTCTTCTTTACGCCTGAAAGCAAAGAACGATTGATTTGATCAAATACCCTCAACATGTTTCAACAGAAAAGGCGCCCTATAGACTCAAAGAAGAATTTTGGTAAAACTGCGGATTTCGGCCAAACCACATACCCCCACCGTCTCAACTTCTACGATCGGCCTCCCAAGGTAGAGATAACATTAGAAAAATTTGAACAATGGGCAATCGATCGCCTGCGAAGTCCGTATCTCTTTGATTCCTCATAAGGAATCTGAAAACTTACATTGCGTAGTCCTCGGCGAAATCGAATCCTGTCTTTACCGCAATAAAACCCCGGCTGAACTCTCTGCAACCATCAACCCTTTGCTAGGCAAATACCTCCCACTTAGCGCAAACACCGCAAAATCGCCGAGAGCAGAAGAAGAGCGCCGGAAAGACCATTATTCGCATTTTATCCTTCGTCTTGCGTTCGCGCGGAGTGAAGAATTGAGGAATAGATTTAGCAGGGCCGAGACTGTACTATTCAAGCTTCGTTTCCTGTCCGATGACCTCCGGGAAAAGGTCGCGTTTATGTCTACCCTGGGTTTTGATTGGGAAACAGTTGGCGACGATGAGAAGCGAGCTATACGGGATAGTTTGATTGCTGCGACGGGAATGAAGTCAATAGAAATAGATGGGGAATCGTTCTTCAAAGTCGACTGGGAGAAAGTTAGCGATCTTGTAGAGCAGCGCCGAGTTTTACTCAGAGCTGGAAAAGCCTATGTGCCTGTGTCGCAGCAGATATCACTCGTGCTGACAGAGTTTACTCGGCGTCTCGAGAATGCCCTTAAAAGCACGGCCCAGGCCCTCCCCCGTCTTGATGAGGACGACCGACTTATCCCAATTCTTAATCACCTTTCGTTGGGATTCACAACATCCGAATATACCAACTCCGATACCACTACACTTAACGGGGCCACAATCACCGCCGGTTCCATCGACGGTCTAGTGCAGTACATGCCACTGTGCATGCGTCACCTCCACACTACCCTTCGCCGTGACAAACATCTCAAGCACTTCGGCCGGTACCAGTACAATCTCTTTCTCAAGGGAATTGGTCTATCTGTTGAAGAGTCACTCATTTTCTGGCGCCAAAGTTTCTCACTAATGACAGACGATCACTTCACAAAGGAGTACCGCTACAATATCCGCCACGCCTACGGCCTCCAGGGCACGGGACGAAATTACAAGCCTTTATCCTGCCAGCAGATCCTCACAGAACGTGCACCAACCGCGGGTCATGCCCATGGGTGCCCATACCGCCACTTCAGCGTTGACAACCTCATTGCCAGCTTGAATGCAGCTGGTATAAATGATCGTGACTTAATTAAGGGAGTCAAGGCCGACGTGGAGGCAACAAAGTTCCACATAGCGTGCAACCGGGTGTTTGAGCACGCACATGCGCGAGAGCTCAAGAAAGAGAAGGAAAGTGAGACCGAGAGCGCCAGGCTTAAGGAAACCATCATCCATCCCAACGAGTACTTTACTAGGAGTTTCATGCTGAGGAATCCGGACTCAGCGGCGGTGGAGGGGATGGGGAACCATCAAACGGTTGATACTGGCGTAGATCCGATGTTATAAACTTAATACTTGGGTTTGGGTAGGAGTTTCCTGGTGGGTAATGAGTTATATTAGTGCGGTCTGGTAGAATCATGGGTATTTTATGTGTTCTGGTAGGGATCTCTGTGTAGTCAGTGGATTGATAAAAATAGAAACTTGGCAGGTACCGAGTGATCCATTGTGATCGAATATTTTTTTGATGAGTGACAGAGAAAGATACATATAGAACCCACCATAGATTCCAGCACAAAAGCCAAAAAAAAATGAAACGAGAAAAGAGTGGAAGTACACGCCTTATGCTAACATGCTAAGATGCCGGAAAGATCGGGTATTAGGGCAAGAAAAAGGAAAAAGGGTAGTAGAAACCATTGTTTCAAGAAGACATAGCCTACATTATTTTTTTCGTCAGTATGGTTGATAGGCCCAAGAAAAATCAGTAAGTGAAAAGAAGAGAGAAAAGGTGAGGAAATCTCACACGTTGTATCCATGATCATGGTATGAACTAATTAATATACTCATATATGTAAGAAATGGAGGTGGAAGAGAGAAAGAACGAAGAAACTCCAGAACCCGAGCCCACTATTTTTGACAGCAGACCATAATGTTAGTTTTTTTTTTTTTAGTTAGTATTGACTTGGCTGACTTCCAACTGCATGATCCTCTCACACTCAGCCAAGTCCGCTTCTTTTTCCGCCAACAATCTCTTTAACCTCTTAACCTCGGCCTCAATCATTTTGTGTCTCTTGACGGTCCTGATCTTAGACTTCAAGCTCGCCAAGACTTTCTCCACGATCTCCTTCTCCATGTCCTCCTTTTTACGCCTCTTTACCGCGGGTAGATCCACCTCACTGCATTCGCTCTCCTTATCCGAAACCACATCTTTCCCTCTACCAGTGCCCATCATGACCCCAACGGAGTATTCATCGTGCTTGAAACGATTTAATGCTCGCTCCAACGATCTATCAGTGCATGTAATCCCGCTGAGACGGTATGCCCGCGCAGGTTTGGCGTTTATGATGGAGAGCCATGATTCTAGTTGTTCTCTAGTGTAGCGATGACCGTTGATGTTGCAGCATTGGCCCCAGACGGTGCAGAGCCTTTCAAGCTCTGGGCGGGTGTAGAGATGCTTGTTGTAAATGTAGAATGTAGCTGTACCGGCGTACACCTTCTTGAGGTCACCCTCCCAGTAGTCTGTGCCATCGATCTTGTAATAGCGTTCGAGATGTTCTTGCATGTTTGCCGGGGTTTGGATCTATGGAGGTGGGATCGATGGCGTGGCTATTCAGGCAAAGAAAAAAGATTAGATGGGATGCTGAATGTGACTGGAGCGGGGTGATTACTAAGCTGTATGGAGGACGAGGATCTGTGTATTGTGATGCAAGCTTTTAAATGATTTGTGATTGGGGAGTGTTGTAGTTGTTGGTTGTCTTGAAGGCTGGGCCTTTCTTTTGAGTATTTTCCATACCTTGTATGCCGTATTGTCAGGTGTTCACAAAAGCCAAGAGTTACATGTAGGATTACACAGAACACATACATACATGTTATGCGCTTAGAAATATAATAAGGAAATAAGCTTTTTTCTTCGTGTGGTATTGATAACTCTATCTACTCTGTATAAAAAGGCCCGCCAGGCAAAAACTAGTGCAGCAGTACTCGAGTACCATTAAAGCACATGATAGCCGTCGGAAATCCAAATCTGCCCTTTTATACACGACCTCCCCAGAGTAGGCCCACTCTCCTCAATATCACACTCACCCCGAAACCTGTCCAAGTTCGAGGGTCATAATTCTCTCGCATTCAGCCAAATCCTTCTCCTTCTCAGCTAGAAGCTTCCTCAATGTAACCACCTCAGCCGCAACCTTTTTGTGTCTCTTCACGGCTTCGATCTTGGCCTGGAGGTTTGCAATAACCTTGCTCACCATCTCGTCCTCTTCATCGTCATCCTGGCACTCCGATGCCCGGGGAGTATCCATGCCGTCACCGTCAAGCGTAGAGGTCGTCTGTGTGGTTTCCGATTGAGCGTCTTCGTCTTCGGGAGTGGCGACGCCGTTCCAGCGACTTTCGATCGCGAACAAATGCTTGGAGATCTCGTTAACGTTGAGAGGGCGGGTGGGAGGTGACTGCGGTGGTCCGGGGCGTGTAGAGGACATTTTGTAATAAAGGCTTGCGATGTTTTGGAGTACGTATGTATGTATGTATGCGGTTTGACGGGCGGTGGTGGTGAATGAGTGAGCGCTGGAGCTTCAGTCAGACCTGAGCTATGTATCTGCAGCTGCTGGAACCTTGCGTACTGCGGGAGCTTATCCTGGAAAGGGTTAGTCGGTTTGACCTTACCTTGAAAGCTCATACATGTAGTTACACAGTTACCCGGCCGGAAACTCTAATATTATTACATGTATTTGCACCTATGTGCACGTGGTAGGATACTCGACAGTCCAGAAGCAGGAATATAAGGAAGTTCAGCAGATACATGTAGTAATATTCGATTTAAACAAATGTCATTAATGAGCATGAGTCGTGAATAACATTACGACGTATCGATACATGATAATGAGGCTCTTAACTATACTTGCCCCGATTCTAGCTCAATGACCCTCTCACACTCCTTCAGCTCCTCCTCTTTCCTGGCCAGACCTTCCCTCATAAGCGCTACCTCCCTACGCACTTTCTTATACCTCTTAACAGCCTCTAGCTTTGCCTGAAGGTTGTCCGCAATCCTCTTTAGTAGCTCATCGCCTTCACGCTCATCTATAATTGGCTCCTCTCCCTCTCCATCTTTCTCCTCAGGCTCTCGTGAATACAACTCGAGGTCCGTTCTCTCTTCCTTTTTCTCTTTATTAGAGGAGTAATCATCGCGTTGACTCGACTCCAACTCGATGTAGTCCACAAATTCCTGTAACTCCTCGGCGGTAAATCCGTGTAATCCTCCGCCGCCGAACGGGAGATATACCGGGTGGCTCGTTTTACACATCTTGTATAGCGTAGTTTGAATCTCTGACTTTGGAAATCTGGAGCCGGAGGAAGGGAAAATTATTCCGGTCTCCCATCCCGAAGCTAGGTTTATAATCTCTTGTATTGTGACTTCGTGATTGTTAAACAAAAAGTACCCAGGCTTATTGCGGATACGGAGCAGATTATGTTCCCAGTATATCACCGAATCGATAATGAAGTAGCGAGTCAATTTGTAGTCAGGTACCGGCATCGTTGGGTAGCAAAGCGCGGAGAAGATACTGGTATTGAATGTGTATGTAGTCACGAAGCCATATGTAGTTAGGCTATAACTATACCAATGGGATTACCCGGCCTTCTTGTGCACCAGTAATTTTTTAAGTTGAGATTTGATCTTGTTTCGAAGCCACCAATTACGCCGGCGCCCACATAATATAATGAGAAAATCCCAGAAGCCGATGGCACCACCGTCCCGGAAACGGAAATCCGGAACAACCCAAGAACTCACATTCGACGCAACAGCACGACGAGAGTATCTCACCGGCTTTCACAAACGTTTGTTTCTCCAGCATACTAGATATCTTTCCTCCTAGCTTGCAATTGAAGGCCTAATGAACACTCGCAGGAAAGCTCCAAAGAATCAAACTCGCCCAAGAGGAGGCTGCCCGCAGAGAAAAAGAAGAGAGGATCATTGAGCGCAAAAAAGTATATATACCGGACTATTATCGACATCACAATTAGCTTACCCATTTGCTAATTGAGATTTGATTCACGGTAGATCCGGGACTCCCGAAAAGAGGAATTAAATTCGCACATCGCCGAACTACAATCCCTCTCCCGTAAAGCTGCTGCGCAAGCAAATGGCGATACAGATGGCGACAATGATTCTGACTCCTCCGGCGATGATACTTCCGATTCTGAGGAGGCGGAGGAGCCAGAAGAGCTGAATAAGCAGGAGGAGTATATCGACGAAGACAAGTTCACGACTGTGACGGTCGAGGCGATGGATATGGACCCTACGGAAGAAGTAGACAGCGAGACAGAAAGGGCGAATGAGAAGAAGAGGGAGGATGCAGAAAAAGAGAAAGAGAAGGCAAAGAAGAAAAAGCCGAAGGAGAAAAAGAAGAAATTTAGGTATTTGACAAAGACGGAGAGGAAAGCGGATCGTGTCAAGGTCAGGACGAGGCTGGCAAAGAGGAGGGAAAAGTTTAAAGCAGCGGATGAAGCGAAGGGATCCGGGACGAAAGGCAAAGGGAAGAAGAAGAGGTAGTCTGTCTGGTTTTCTATTCCTTTTTCTTTTGTAAATTTCTCTCTTCCCAGTGATAAAAGTGCTCTGATCATGCACTTAATGGTTTACAAGGGGTCTTGCATTTTCGTATTCTCTTTCTTTTCTTTTTCGTTTTGTAGAATAAGCTACATATAATATGGGTTGAAAATGACTAGTATATGAGAAATTAGGGTTTGAATTATATGTAATCATGGGCAAGATCCAGATCAATGATCGAGGATACAGGATGTTTGCTTATAGAGTGTGGTTGGTATTAAGAGGTAAAGGTTGCCCGAATCAAATCTGCACCGCCTCCAAAAGAGATAGAGAGGCCTAGTGACTTACCTATACTCTCTTCTACTTTAATTTATGTCTATATTAAGCTGTGCCTCAGCTCTCCAGAGTGATGAGCCTTGCTCTCAAGCTGTATCCTTCAAACTTCTCCTCACTTCCGGCATATAGCAAGGTTCTTTTCCCAGTTCTAACCTATACCATGCGCTAGTAATGTTTATAAGATACATGTAGTAGATTTACTTGTTAGTGCAACGCTAGGTTACATGTATACATGTATATGGCTACGGTACTGTCAAATGAGGTAATCCACAATACATGTGTATATAATCAATGTGAACAGCATCGTGTCACCACATAATATGAGGAAGAACATACGTAATACATGTACCGATAGGGCTTTATGTGTACATACACATATCCCTCAAATACATGCATCCTTCTTAAATGACAGCTACACCATCACCAACCATCACCATGGAAACTTTGTCAATCCTCAAGAATTTACCAGACGACATCATTCTCGAGGTCTTTGATCATCTTTCCCTCCATTGGGTCAACGAAGTTATCCACACAGGGGGATACCGATTTGTCAGGCTCCTCCAACCGTATCTTATTTCGCGCATCAGCAATGGTTACGAGGGACTTGGTGTCCTTCTCTATGCCACCTCTTCCGGAGATAAACGTCTCACCTCCCTCCTCCTGCAGAATTCTCAAAACATCACCATGGCCCAAGAAATAATTCAGGACGATGAAGAAGAAACAATTGTCACATATAAAAGTCCTGGACAGCCTATTTTCCGCTTTTTGCTCGAAGACGAAGAGCTTAAATTCTACGACCAAACTTCCGAATCGGCAGCATTGCATTGGGCAATCCGCAACAGCGACTACCGCACAACGCAAAGCATCCTTAAATCCTTCAAGTGTACTTGTGATACATACAGTAATTGCATGCTCCATATCGGAGGGACTCTCGACGAGGAAGCTCCTGCCGAACTTCAGTTCCCCTCGCCCCTCCTATATCCATGTATGACCGGAAACTTAAGAATGGTTCAATTGATCTTATCTTTCACCGGCTTTCCACATCTCCTTGCCAACACAGTAATCGCCGGAAAGGACCTCTTTACCGGCCGTACCGCGCTGCACCTCGCATGTATTAACGGCAACGATGAAGTCCTAAAACTCATCCTCAACAGTGGCAACGCGGCCGGAGGCCAAAGGCAGGTGATGGATGATTCGGGAATGACACCAATCGATTATGCTGTGAAGTACAAGCACAGGGAACTTGTTCGCCGACTTGCCATGAATACCAGAGATCGTTTTAATTACGAAGACCCACGCAACCGCACAGTACTTATGATCGCTGCAGCGCATTGTTTTAATGATCTCGCGGAGGAGCAGATTGAAATATCTCAAGACGACCCCGAAGGAAAAGACTCGACACAGATGACGCCGCTGCATTATGCCGCAGCTGGGAGTAACGCAGTTGTTACGAAGATGCTGCTAAAGATGGGAGTCTTCGTTGATCCGACGGATCATATTGGACGGACGCCGCTCCATATTGCGGCACGCCTGGGGAACGTGAAGGTTTTGAGACAGCTGTTAGGGCGTGGTGCGAGACAGGATGTGATAGATGACTATGGGATGACGCCGTTGCATTTGGCTTGCAAGCGTGGATCTATAAAGATCGTGGAGATGCTGTTGCGGGCAGGCTCGCAGAAATATATCAACGTGGTAGATAAATTCAGAAGGACGCCGCTGCATATCTGTGCGAGGCATAGGAGCAGTAGCGCAGCATGTGAGTTGTTGGTGAAGAATGGGGCGGATTTGACGGCGCTAGACGTTAACGGAAAGCCACCGAGGTGGCCGATGGTGAAAAAGGATAAATGATCGAATTTTAGCGTTTTAAGACTGAAGTCTATCGGCTGTATATACTGTGTATTAATGGCATGAGACTAAACGTTTTAAACTTTACGTTGAGGCTTTATCTCACGCCTATGCGTGGCCTGCAAGTCCAATTAAAAGACAAGACTGGGAAAACCTTCCCCTAGTCTCGAGCCCTATCTCAAGATATATGTCCTGCTGTATCTGATGCAGGTAGATGTAAAAGTGTCACGGAATACAACCTCTAAATGTCTGGATTGCTTAAAAATTATTGCCGGCCTAGTTCAAGCCCAGGAGATATCTAAGTTGACTGAATTTAGTTAAAAATCCTTCCCCAAGAGTAGTACCATCCCCTCCACCATGCGAGCACAAGACATTATCGAAGATGTAATAAATGCCTCAATGATCACTCCTATTAAAATCTTTATTCGTCTTGTGCCCATCGATCATAGCGAGGATAATTTATCTAGATCAAGAGATATATCATCATAGTAGAATGTAGAACACTCGGATTAGATAGGAATTGATAAGATTCTTAAGCGTAGTGCGTCATGTAATCTCACTCGGTCAATAGTTTTCATGAAATTGACAATGATCTGGTACCTGTATGGTGCAGTCTGGCATTTTTATATTTGACTAAGATGTACATCAGAATAATTGTGGTTATGTAGTTCGTGGGTAGTAACTTCCCCTCATGAGATATCACTCGCACATGGTCTTTCTGGGCGGGTCGTGTTGATTTATTTGTGTCCTCCATATTTTTGATATCTTCGGGTCGATCGAGGCTCTTAGTAGAGAGATACGCTTATATTCAAAATTCGGCGATCTTTCGTTTTTGAGTTTTCTAAATCGATACTCCGTTGGATATGAAAGTACTGTCTCAATTACTTCTGGATGAAGTTAACATCTGATTGTTATGTTTGGGCGCACTACAGCCGACCCACTATTTGTAATAGTATAGCCTCTTCTAGTTCCTTGAGCAGGATACATATAAGCCAGTGTGTTGATGCTTTCATAGGTGATATTTGTTATACACATGATTCAGGACACGTATACATGGTTCCAATATTAGTTGATGTGGTATTATTTGATGGTCATTTGTTTCTTAGTCGCTGGTAAGCGCTCGTGTCCGCCCATCAGTTGTAATAAGTAAACATCATCTAGCCCCTTGTGGACTTTTGGTTTAAAATCAAAAGTGTATATGATGGTCAATTGATCGGTGTTGTTTGTCCTATCATATGCGTCAACTTAGGAGAATAAGTAAAGCTAGGATTGAGTTTACCAATTGCACGTTGGGGTTGTGATATTAAGCCGGGGAGGCTCATGAGGGGGAGGGGGATTGTCCTGTGAATTTTGATAAGTGGCCGGCATAAGCTGATGTATGACTGTCGTACAACACCAGTTGCCAGTATCTCTCATCATTATCCTTCGTTAGGAGGCTTACTCAATGTTGAAAATATAGACTTGGATTGAGGATAGTGGCATGAAAAATTGTAAAGTTTTCGGGGAGAAACAAAGGGGAGAAGGGGCATGCAGACATCGCTGAGGTACAGCAATAATCCACCGCAGGAGCCCCTTTGATCTATTCTTCTCCCACCACAACATTTTGCTCCAGCTCTCAATGTTAACGCTTAAGTCCAACCTCGAGCTCTCAAGAATCGCGATCGCTAGACGGGTACGCATCTACCATTGTGCATAGAAACCTGCATTTCGAGGACGGCTTAGTGGCGGAGCAAAAGTTGAACTTCTTTTCTAAGACAAATTCTGAATTGGCCTGGAGTCCATGGCTCCAAAGAACATATACTCGTGGGGAGGTCTTTGGATAACGACCGTGTATTTTCCACTCCGAAAATAGGCGCTGTTGGCATAACCACTCTCCGGGGTGCCTTAAACATGAAGAAAGAAGAAGTCGAGTTTCGGAATCCTTATTCCTGTACCTTAATGACAGGTTTTGAGGCATGGGTCGGTGGATTGAGATTGCTTCAGGGTCGGAAACGAGGGTTTGGGTTCTGTTGGCAAGCTGGCGAGCCAGCGGGCCAGTGGTCAGCAGGAAACAAAAATAACCCAAATCCACCGTCCAATGTCTGGTAGAGGATGGAACCGTATGGCCCAGCACAACCTGAAGGGGATGAATGGGGAGAACGAATGAGCTGGCCAGAAGAAGGGCAGAATACTCAAAGCATGAGCTGAGAGAAAGATACCTTGCTAGTGGGTAGCACCTAGCCATGTCATTGTAAGGTGACCTGAGGGGTGATGGTCTTGAAAAGGGTTGGTCCAATTGGCCAGCGTACCCGTCAAACAAGACACCCGCATGCTACATATAATACCAATTAGTGACACACATATATAACTTAAGACTGGGTTTCGAATCATGAGCACCTGCGAGGAGATCCCATTTAATGGGACATGGAGATGTTACACGCATGTATATATGCAGACATCGCCCCCTCATCCGAACAACTAACATGTAACTAACCGTCTTCTAGACTTTCCTCAGCAACCAATTAGCAGAGAGCTGTCCGAGGGACTCTCAAAAGCGTCTTCCGTGTAGGTTAGTTAGGAGATTGGTTAAGTGGCCAGGCCGTTCTGAATCTGGGCACCGTATGGGAGATCCCGTACACGTGGTACCAACATCCGCCGCAAATTTGACTGCCTGTATCCCATTGTCGAGAATAGAAGCCTTATTGTGAGAACATACTAAGGCGGCCAGTAAAAGGTCGTGAAAGCAGGCGCTGCAACGGGGCGATTTTTCACGACCTTTTACAGAACGCCTAAGTAGGATAAGTGATATTAGCATAGCTGAAATCATGATCATGATTAGCTAGACCTTGAAATCATACGATAACGTATCCTGTTCTAGAGTGAGTATCTCGATATCATTATCGATCTCTTTAAAGTTTAGGTGCCCAAAATCTATCCTTCGCCCCACAGGCTCTGTTTATGTAGATCTTAATAGGCACATGCAAGTACTGATATTTCGATACTCGCACGTGACTCGTGTCTCAGCCCTAAACCTTGTCCTCTTGTCCTCGACAAGGGTCAAGGGTATCCCAAACCTTAAATAACAAATCAGCCCAGAATCTTCGCTAACCGCTGAATAAAATACAATAATTGTCAGCGGCAAGAATATAGAAATGGGGGTAATTTCGGTTCCTGAGGCAGAGCTCATATATATCAGTAGGTTTCCCAATTGCTGAAATGTTGCGCTATGGGTGAACCTATAACGTCCTTTGAGATATTGGGGGCCTCTTCGAATTCACTACCTATGACTACATCTATGTCCTCCGACAAGTGAGAGACTGGGATCTGTGGGACTCTGGCGATGTTTCTGAGCGACCGTGGCGATTTTCACCGCCGAATCAGCCCCTCTTTTCCACTCCCCCCGAAAGTTCGGATGACGATTTCGGAAGATTGCCTCTGCAGTGGGATGCAGAGGAACGGTTTCCTTTGTTTTGTTGACTGGGGTAAAGTCACAAGGGGATAATTCCACGAATGATAGTACATATAGTTTCTCAAAGAGGACCGGGTGGGAAGTGTTGTTGGCAGGCCCAACGTGTGTGTGGTTCGTGTCGGGAAATGTTCTCGTAATACCCTACATTTATCAAAATTGACATGTACTGATGAAATCGATGCTTGTGTACGGATATGATGTCCGACTTGAAGATATAGTTCACTCAAATTGATGCATTTTACACGAGCATTTTAACAAGAGAATATACATTTTTAGCTGCTTGGTAGATATGTAGAAGTGCAATGGATGCCAGCACGCAGGAGCTTCTGCTTCTCAAAACCACTTGAGAGCACCATCATGAGGCATTACATGGAATGGTAGCTACCAGTATCCGCCAATAGCCCTTTTATCTCAATTTGTTTAATTAAAGAGTGTCTACACTTTCCCCGCTCTAGATATTCCTTCTTTTCCTAAAAGAGACTTTATCTTTCTGCTTGTTGGTTGCGGTTTCTAATTTGACTCCCCCCCAACCCGGATCAGTCATCACCTTTCTCTTCCATCCTTCCTCTAATCTCCTACTCCTCCTTCTGCTCCTCATTCTCCCATCCTCCTGCCCTTCCTTTCGCCATCATCCCACCCCCTAATTCCTTATTCATCTAATCCTTAAGCTTATCCATCAGGTATCTCGCTGCTGTCTGTTGCCGAACCACGGATAACTGCTGGACCTGTGCTTTAATACATATTCCATCCACCAATCTATCATGTCCATGGGGCTCGTGCTCACCCCGCAAGCTCACCTCTCCCCACTGGAGGCGCTTCTCACGATCTATACACCAATTTTGGAATGCCTTGTGAATCATCTACATACGCCTTCAAAGATCGCTTTATCCCAGACTTCTAAGCATGTTCGGCAACTCTTGTACAGCTATCCGCTGTTCTTCTCACATCTCGATTTTCGCCTCCCAGTTGTGGAGAACCTATCTTTCGACTCATATCGCTTAGGGACAGTCTACAACTTGGATCGGCTCCTTGCAACCTTGCCAATCGAGAATAGAATAACCTCCTTGACTCTCGACTGGACTGCTGTCACGGGATATTTTCTTTTCGGGAAGGTCATGGACAGATGCCAAAATACATTAGAGCACCTTTCCGTGAGAGGGTGCAGGAAGGTATCGATAAAGCACCACATAGTACCCTACCTCGTTTACCAGGATTCTGTCGAGCCACTGTCTGTTTCTACCGCGACTTCTCCCAAGAGAGCCCTTAAATCGCTTTACGTCTATAAAGCTCGTGGTGTGCGTCGCAAGCCATTTCTCATCGACCGTAAGCCAGCGGACGGAGATGAACCGAGCAGGTACCTGACGACGTTGGCCGATAAGCTGGGGATATGGGTCGACTTGGGTTTGTGTCCCACCCCCAAACTGAGATGTCCGAGGCGAAGGGAAATTTTGAGGCGAGGAAAAGAGAAGTTCTGTGTACCTTTCGATAAGCGGTGGAGGGTCCTTATGGAACAGGGAGCGAACAACGCTGCGGCCCCGCATTTGACCCTACTATCGCCCCATGAGCACGCTCAGCGCCGACGGTTTGAAGAAACTCAAGGCACAGGGATAGCATGTGACAATTGCGATGTAGCCATATTGGATCGCTGCGAGGCTTGTGTACAGCAAATGACCTGCTCAAATTGTGCAAAAGCTCTATGCCATCACTGCGCGTACGCTCGTCCGGCTAGCCCCTCGCCCTCATCGGTAGACTCGGATGAATCTGTTACCAATCCCTTAATCCAAACCGCTCAGAACACACAACCGTTCATTCCTATACCGGGAGCGGCAGCAGCTCACAATTTTCACAACAACAACAATGCTGCAACGGCGCCAATCCCAATACCCGGAGCGGCTGCGGCTAGTTCGGAAACGAATCCCGTCATGCATCTCCTCCAGGCTTGTTGCGATTCGGCCACGGCAGCCAACCCTGCGGACATCTTGTGCTCGAGTTGTATGGGCTCTATCACTTGGGACATGTGCGACGGCTGTCAGAGGCAAATTTGTAAAAAGCATGAGTTGGACCGTTGCCGGAAGTGTGAAGGCGGTTGCCGGAGAATATTTTGTTTCTCAAACGATTCGACATCTCCTGTGCCCGGCTGTGGGGAATCAGTGACTGGGAGGGCTGGAATGAAGGATTGTCTTAGTTGTGGTAAAGATGTGTGTGGTGATTGTCGGAGCCGTACACTCACGTCGTCTCCATCAATGACCAATGCTGCTTCCTCCGATGATGGTACAGAGACAGAAGAGCAGGAAGAAGAAATACCCCGTAAGACATTCTGCAATTGCAAAGCTTGCAAGCAAAATTTTTACTGCACATCTTGCTGGCCAAGCAAACCAACACCTTGCGAAAGGAGGCCAAAAGAGATCCTTAGTCACAAAACAGTCGAGGGCGATACGGTGATATATTTGGTCACTTTTTACGATTCTGAGGAGCAACAAAAGAGATGGATGACGAAGCAGAGGATTATGGAAGACTTCTTGAATACCGGAGGCCCAGAGTTGATCACTGCATTTGAGGAGTCTCTAATAATTTCAAAGCCTATGGACATCCTGGTTAGCCCGCCGCCACCAATGACCACACCGGAATCCTCGGTACATGGAGATGATCCGAAAGTTAGGGACGAGGAAGAGGACAACGAAAAGATACAAGTGGGGGAAAGCGAATGGATTATGGAGAGGGTTTTGGGGAAAAGGCAGCATGACCCGGGTCCGCTGGGCCAGGCTGGGCCAGGCTCCATTGATTCGTACTATTATCTGTGCAAATGGCTCGGAAGGGGGGATGAGTGCACATGGGTGCCCAAGAGTACATTCCGAGAAAGGTCCAGAGAACGGATGATGATGGATAGATTCGACCGGAATGGTCCGGATAGAACTGCAGGGGATGAGGAAGGGGAATCATCGAGAGAAGCAGAGCTTAGGGCAGAGGGAGAAAATGTGGGGGAAGGATCATCAATGGCACTTGGGGGACCTTTAATCTAGGATTCGAATATCAGGTTGCTATATTTCCGATTTTTAACAACGCAAAAAATCCGTTGTTTTCAAGGCTGTTTATTTTTGCATTTATTATTTGGTTGATTTCGAGTGTTTACCGCGTTTTGTGATAACTGGATTGGGATAGGAAGGGTTTAAACGTCATGATAAGGCGTGACGGGGTGTTTTTTCTTTTGGTTTCTCTGTTTACGAATTTGGTTATCTCCCGTGGGTACACTGTACTGCGGACCAGACTGACAAGCGGCATAAAATTTGGTTTTTTTTCCTTTCATTTTGGGAGTGGTTGGGACTTTCGGCGATATCATACGGGTGTTATATTCCTCTCATTATTTTTATGTTTTTTCTTTTCATTTTCTTTTCTTTTCATATTTTTCGTTTGCTCTTTCGGTTCTCTTTTGAAAAGCTGAGGCGATCATATCTCAGCCTGGAGCATTTCCTTCTTTTTTCAATCATGATTCCCTGATTCGTAATTTCTCTTTTTCATGACTTTTTTTCTTCATGATCCTTCGTTTCCCCTATTCTTGGATTGTTACCGCAATTGGTCGACCGTCAAACTTGATGTATTTTTTTGCTCTTGCATGAGATGCGTGCGTGTGCGTGTGCGTGTGCGCATATTCGTTTGTAGTAATCTCACAGTTGGGGGAGCTGGGAGGTGGGAGGTGGGGAGGGAGAAGGAGGAGGAGGAAGAGGAGGTTGAAGGGGAGGGGGCCCGGGGTTGGGTCGGTTTATTTACTTAGTTGTTTATCTATCTAAACTCCATTCTTTCTTTGCATGGCGCAAGAAGAGTCAAAACGCACAGCTATCTCTCTAGAATGACGGCTCACTGCTTTCCATCGCGTATGTCATTCACATACTTTTTCTACGCACTATTACATGGGTAAGTGGCCGGTACTTGAGGGAGGATTTGCCAGGTCACACACGTCTTCTGTTTGTCACAGGCTGGTGTTCTATCTACATCTCTTCTCAAGGCACTCGAGATTCAGATAGATATAGACCTTGGTCACTAATGGCCATTAAACAACCATTCCAAACGACCCCCTGTCAACATAACCGCACAAATTATAAAGCTTACTTATAAAAAACAATTATCAGGCATCCATACCTCTAATTCTTGTTTAACTCCGTCGACAGCTGCAAGGCGACTGGCAGTCACTCTGGATAGGCCCATTGTTGAGTAATAATATTCAGAGTCAGATCGGGAGATCTAGTAAGCGCGGTAGTTGCAGGCGTCGTTTTAGGTAAGCTGGTATCTCATAGCATGCTTACTTCTCAGCTAGCTAGGCAGCCCACCCAGCCAGAAGAGCAATGAAGAATGCTATTCAGGCACTGCTAGGGAGGATTTAGAGCTCAAGCAGTTAAGCGTCAAAACGGGGTCTTGGCACCCCGACGCCGCCCAGCGGTAACTAGAGCACGACTACTTAGTATGCACACATAACCACTGCCCATAAGCGACCTATCCGATTGAGAAGAAGAAGCGGGTTTTTATGAATGCTATGTGGGTGAAATAGGTGTTGGTTATGGTTGAAGACGGGGGTGGTAGGCGGCTTTGGGCGGTATAGGTATATGCTTGCCGCCATATGCCGCCGCGCCCGCAACCCACCTGCCAGGAAGAGATTCCGTGTTATTTACGCAGGGCGGTGGTTGCTACAGAGTTTTGCTAACTCCCACAACTTATTACTCTCCTCAATCCTAAAGATAGGGAAGAAGGGGTAGAAGCCAGGGTGTATGCCTCAAGGGTTAGGGTTAGAATCGGAGTATTGCTGACAAAGTATGACCGCCTTGGCATTGACACGATCAACGACCCCGTACGAAATTCATCTCACCGGCACTGGCATCAACCGAGCAGCTCCATAACCTCAGTCGTGTTAAACGCAGTCTTTTTCATCTTATGGCATCTTAGAGATGTAGTCTGCAAGCAAAAATGGTCGTATTGTACCCCCGAGTGATAGTGTATGAACAAGATTTATTTCCACAAAAACTCTAGAGGAAACTAGTTACATGTACGCAAAAATAATTAAAAAGAAAGTATAAATTAAATACAATCAACCAAGGTGGGTTGGGCTAGTCCGCCGAACTTCTTTTCCTTTGGACCGGGGGTTTATGATTGGTGTAGGAGGTGAAATGCGGGATCGGAAATTCTTAGCAGGCGGGATTGAGGGGTGTATGTTGATGTTCCCGTACGGGCCGGGGAGTTTTGGTCTGTCCTGGTTGTTTGGATTCGGATTAGCATGTGGTATATTGAAACATATCGATGCCACGTATGGCTATTCTCATGGGATGGGAAGTCTAATGCTCTGGGTTTGTTTACCTGACTAACGGCAACCTGGGCTTCAACGGACTTTTCCCAGATACTCTTGGGGTCGTGGGGAATAACACACTCGCTGGGTTCCGGTAGACCGACAGAAAGACGTCCGAGGAGGAGGCCGTACCTCCATCACTACTATCGTCGGCGTCGGATTGTACTGATATGCCAGATTGCTCTTCGGAGGGGGTCTTGGCTCGAGGCTTTTGTGGGCTGTAATTCCCCGTATCCCTATATCTGGCGGATTGGAGTCTCTCTGGGCTGCCACGGTTTCCTCTCTCGTTCTTTTCTGTGTCTGTGCCTCCTTCGACGCTTTCGGCCGATGATTCATCAAGCTCTGGCTCATCTTCCGAATTCTCATCTGATTCGGAGGCCTCTCCTGGCTTCTCTTGCGTAATACCTGCCTCCCCGCTCCCATCTTCACTATCGTCTTCACCTCCTCCTCCTCCTCCTCCTTCTTCTTCTTCATCACCCCCCTCATCCCCCGTTTCTTCATCTTCTTCCTCTTCTACACTACTATCGTCGACATCGTTCTCTTCCTGATCTAGATCCTGACTACTTTGGGACTCATTATCCTCGGTCCCACTTTCGTCTTGACCCTGATCTTGGTCGTGATCATCATCATCATCATCATCATCTTCTACCACACCTTGTGCCTCTGTTACTAACAAGTTTCCGGGTTCAACGCTTTCCCCAGAGTACCATTTACGCCGTTTACCAGATCTTCCAACTCTATGTGGCGATACATAACGTTTCATCTTAGACCTTGCAAGGAGAGCTTTGAGCTTGATATTGTCTGCTTCTAGTGTCTTACTGGGCGCGGAGTCAACAGCCAAGTGTAATAATGGATTCACGTCTGGAATCAACCTCCTCCTCTTGGCGGTATAATAGCTTGCCCCCTCGTACACAAGGATTCCATGCTTTCTCATAGCTGCAGCAGGAGGGGCAGGGGGAGGAGCAGAATCAGCAGGCGGAGGGGGAGGAGGACCAGAATCAGCAGGAGGGGGAGGAGGAGGAGGAGCCATCTGAGCTAGCCTTAAGGGTATCGATGCCTCCTCCATCACCGCGATAGCTTCGGGCGTGAGGTTAGCTGCTGCTGCCCACGCGGCTAGTACTGCTGGGGCTGGTGCGAGAGGCCCTGCTCTCGCACCTATGGCAGCAACCAAGGCAGCATTTAGCGTGATTGCTTGTGTTTGTCTCCCTAATATAGACAAAGATGTCAACATCCTAGTGATGTGATTATGGTTGATATTGGCAGGATTCAACCAGCTCATAAACCCGGGGGCTCTAGGGGCAACTCCTTTGGCAATAAACGTCTTGGCCGGGCCGGTGTGTGTGTGACTGACTGCCCCTTTCGGAACAGAGAAGCCTAGGTGCCTCATGAAGTAGTTTATGCCCATATTATATTTCTGGTAAGGCTGGTTTCCACCAGCAAATGCTGCGAGTGTTACTGGGGTTATCATTGGCGCTGGTGCATAATCTGTATTGTCGTACGTTGGAAACATGAAAGATACCCAAGCACCAGGAGGCGCGTCCAATGTCACGCGCGAGGTCACTTTTCTAAATCCCGAGGAAAAGCGTAGTCCACTCCCCGGATTTGTAGGCCGTGCTAATCTGTCACACAAGAATTCTATAATAGGGCATGGATCTGGGTTAGGTACTGCTGCCCTTTCTGCTGCTTTCCTGGCTATTTCATCCGCAATGGCCTTGGCTGCCTTCGCCGCAGCGTCCAGTTTGAGGGCTCTCCTTGCCCTCCTTCGTGCCCTACTTTTTGCCTTGTTTTCCTGCCTTGCTTTCGTGGCTGCCTTTTGCGCTTTTGCTGCTGCGCTCATCCCATCCGCCTTTGCCTTTGCCTTTGCAGCCTTTTCAGCTGCTTGGGCATTTTGCTTGGCTGTTCTCTCAGCTAACTTGGCTGCCCTTTTTTGTGCCCTTTCAAGCCTAGCTGCCCTCCTTGCTGTTCTTGCTGCCTTCTCCGCATCTGTCATAGCATCCTCTTTGGAGCTTTTACCTGCTTTCTCCGCAGCTACAGCTGCTGCTATCGCCAACATTATTGCCGCATATTCCGCTTCGGCGCCTGCAATCTCCGCAGCAAAGGCTAGAAGCGCTGCATCATTTGTCGCTATAGTCGCTGTGATAGCAGCAACCGCCGCAGCACCTCTTGCATTAGAGGCTACTAGATTGGCCGCCTGTTTTAGTTGTGCTGCATTAAGGCCTGTGGATCCCTCGACAACGTCCAATGCCGCCCTTTTGGCTGCTCTGGCTAATGCCTCTGCACCGAGGTTGTCGAGATTGGCCTGGTTTGCATCTCTGGTCGCTTGCAAGGCGATCCGCTGGGCGGCAATCCCGGCGCGTCGTGCCCTGGAGGCGCGGGCGGTGCCCTTGAGGACATCGGACCGCTTGAGGAGGCCCTCATCCTCCTCGTCTTCGTCGGCCTCGCTAATTTCGCTAGCTGGGTCGTCGGATTCCTCTTCCTCGTCATCATCGGCTTCCTCTTCCTCGTCATCCTCGGCATTCTCGTCTTCAGGTTCGTCTTCATTATTTTCATTATCGTCTTCTTCTTCTTCTTCATCTTCAGGATCAGTGTCGTCCGAGGCGGGCGCAGGGGATGACGACCGATCTTCATCATCCTCTCTGGGTTCTTTCTTCTCCTTCTCCTTATTCTCCTGGGGCTCATCCTTGGGCTCATCCTCTATCTCATCCTCTGGCTCATCCTTTGGCTCATCCTCTGGGGGTGGTTGATCATCCTTCGTGGTACCATCATGCGCACGATAAGGGCGGGGAGGAACAGCAGGGGGGACTGGAAGTGCCCCCGTGGAGGCCAAAACTACAGCGGCGTTGGCGGTGAAGCAAGGGGGCAGTGGCACCGGAGGCCAGCCCGCCGCTATGTTAGGAGAACCTATCCCGGTTATAGTGAATGGGACAGTGCTGTTTGCGGCTAATCTCCATCTGTGGAACCACTTGACCTGCTCAGAGATTGCTATCAGAGTTGCCTTTGCGGGGTATGCGGTTCGTAGTTTGCCCAAGTACTGGTTTAATTCAAGTGAGATCCATCCTATGAAGTTTGCAGGTAGAGGGACTTGAATGCACTTTGCCCTGTGCTCTTCAAGTGTCTTTGTGAGATTGCACGAGAGTTAGCCTAATTGAATAAAGAAGGCCTTTGGGGGGGAGGGGAAGGCTAGGGCGAAGATAAAATGTTATGGAAGGATTTTGCATTACCTCTGCCGCAGGACGTTCCTCGCCATCTATTTGGTACGGCCTCCTGCGGAGCCTTCTGCGGCAAGAGGGGCAGAACACATGGCGGACTGCCCTTGCATACTGTTGTGCTTGAGAGTTACTCAGTTCGGTGTTGTAAGGATACGTTATTACAGTACGATCAGCATCTATCGAGAGATTTCGGGGGACTTGGTTCTGTTTCAATCTTAGTAAGAGTCTTAATTGCCCCGGGGGGGGGGGGGGCGTAGTAATTCGTACATAAATGAGTTCAAGAGCATAAGTGTCGTCGCCCATCGCATCCATTTGTGCATACAGATGAGTCAAATCAGCCCTAGTCCTCCTCGGCAGAGTCGTAAAGCCCCGTCCATCGAGCGGATTGACATTCCCCCACTGCGCCAGATGGTCATAGCCCTCCCGCCGCCTCTGGTACGGGCACCGTATCCTGTGGTTCCTATGCTGCAAATCTACAGAGGCCTGAAGGTCGGGGAGTTGCGCCCTTCGTTCAGCACCCGTGAACCAGAGTTTTCTCTGTGGTTGTTGTAATCAGTTAGTATTTTTCTTTCTCTTCTCTTTTTGCCCCCGCGGGGGGGGGGGGGGGGGTATTGTTTGAGTGAATGATACGCACCATACCGACTTCGGTAAACTCTATACCGCAGTGCTGGCAATGCGTCCGTTGGTCGATATAGATCCATCGCCTCATTGCATGGTCGTCGTATTCCAAATCTGTTTAAGTGCATTGTGTCAGAAAAATGGCCAGAGAGCTTGAGGGCGGGAATAAAAAAAAAAAAAGGATTAAACACGAATGCATACCCAGCGCTCCGGGCCCGTGTATCATCTCGTCGGCCCGTGGATACGGTTCGTCATCAGTTTCGCGAGCAAGATCGGCGAGCAGGTGGGCTTTTTTCTCCTAGAGTGTTGTCTTAGCATTTTTTTTCAACTCTCTTGTGGGAATTAAGCAATGCTGGGGCGCTGGATAGAAAGGGGGACGGAAATCAGTGGACAAGTAACGCGAATCCCTAACTATAAAGCAGTAATAGGAATATTAGGATACCAAGGTTTGAGTTGGGTTTATTTAATTCATTCCAAGTTGGGGGGGTGTGTGTTTGTACTAATCTCAAAACCCTTTACCAGACGTAGACGCAGACGCACAGGTGCAATGAGTGAAAAGACAAGAAAAAGGAAAAGTACCCACATCATATGCCAGAGCACTAATGTTAAGCTGGCAGTAAGGGCAGGTCTCTGTCTGAAGACCGTGGTTAATTTCAACAGTGAACGATATGCTATCAATCATATCCGCGAAAGCCTGAGCCCGCCCCTCCTCCCGCTCTATCCTCGCCAAATTCGCTCTATCCTCGTCACTAAGCGGTGGAGGGGTTCCTTCATTGGCCGGGTTATCGTCATCAGTCACATCGTCGTCCGACAGCAGATCCCGATCCCTCTGCGCCTTCAGCTGTGCCTGCCGCCGCCTCTCCGCCTCCGCCTCCGCCGCAGCGGCCTTCGCTGCCGCTGTCAACTTTTCCGCAGCGGCCCTCGCCCTTTCCGCCGCCGCCGCCTGCTCCGCCGCGGTCTTGTTGTGATTCTTTTGGTTGTTGCGCCGTGTTTCTTCCGCCTCCTGCGCTGCTTTCTCCGCAGCTTCCCTTGCAGCCTCTAGTAGATCTTCGTGCTTTTGCTTCTCTTCTTCCCTCAGCGCTATAAGCCTCATTTCCTCTATCGCAGTATCCCGCCTCTTCTTCGCCATCTCCTCATGCCTTGCCGCGCGATCCTTCGCTAGCTGCGCCGCCACCTCCGGCGTCATGTCCGGCGGATTCGACATGTCCGACGGCGACGACAGCTCCCTCTCATACGGCGGATCCTCCGCCGTATCCGCCGGCTCCTCGGCCTCCTCCGCTTTTTGGCGCTTGGCCCTGTCAGCCGCCGCCGCGGCCTTTATTGCTGCCTGCTGCTTCATCAGCAGGTCGTAGATCTCCGAGCTGTCGGTCATCTTGCGGTCCATCTCCAGCTTCTGCTGCGCGCGCAGCCGGAGCATTGCGGCGGCCTCGGCTGCGACCTCGGCGGCCGTCGGCGGCACGGGCGGGGGCAGGTCGGCGAATTCGTCCGCGGGCTCGGGCGGCGCTTTGAATTCGGGGCGCTGGGGCGGCGACCGGCGCGGGGGCGGGGCAGGCGGCGGGGTGGGGAGGGCCGTGAGCGGGGGTGCGGTTTCGGGGGGGAGCCCGGACCGTGGGGTGTCGGTGATGAAGCCTAGGCCTGTCATGGTGGGAATGGAATGGACTGGTTTCTGTTAAGGGTTTTTTTTTTTTGATATATGGATATTCCTCCCCTTTTTTTTTTTATCTCCTCAGGAATGAAGTTGAGGGGGCCGATATCGTGCTGGTCCGGGGAGGGTGAGAGAGAGAGAGAGAGAGGGGAAAAAAAAAAACAAGTTCATCTGTAATCCTAGGGAACCCTTGGGTCTTTGAAGTATATGGGTTCTCGATGGATGGAAGGGGGGGGAGGGATGTAGACATATTCTTTGTCTCCAACAATGCCGCTGCAGGTGGAAAGTTTATCTGCGCAAACTGACCAATCAGTCCGTGGCATTGCAACCAGGGCAAGATGTTTGAGCTCACTTGTTTATATGCCTCTTTGTTTGATTATAGGCAGACATTTTCATTGTTTTGGCCTTTCGGTAACAATGAGTGGGTTCGACCTCTCGATAATTGCAGTGGTGCCCCAACGTCGGCCAGCTATGACGGCTCATACACACCACACATATAAACACGGGATGGGAGTTTGTTTGGTCAATTGGATTGTTTGTTGCGATCCACACCCCATGGTGATATATATCCGGTGTAGTCCTGTCGCTTGTCAAACGGGCAACAAAGCTCGGAGGACCAAACCCTTGATCATTGGTACCGGTGTTGTATGTGATCGACGGCACGAAGTACTGAAAATCGCAGCTTCCATGTAGTAGTTGTCTACATGATTTCTTCATAGAGGGACCGGGTGCGATCGTTTGTGCGGTGCGGTCTTGCTGCAGGATATCAAAAGCTAGGGCCAGACTGACATTGGCTGGCTCCGGGCGCCCGCCAGCACGCGTACCCCACCCCCACCTCCAGGAGCATCCCATATTATAACCCGACCGCTGCTTTCCCGAAACAGGACCGCGCCCCGGCCCGAGAGGACTAGAGTACTACCACCAGTACCTGTGCTGTAGTCATTATATGTAGGTAGATACAACTGCGCTGCCAGCTGTGCTCTGAGCACTTTTAGGCTTTGTGGCTCGTCCATAAATGTGCACTTGGAGGAGAGTATGTACTTCTAGTCAAGTGGAAGTGGCCAATGTCCCCCTTTGCCGGCGGGGTGTTGTCTACATGTAGGTAGAGATCTGGAGAGTACAGTCCTATGAAGGCCCCGGTCGAGAGCTTGAGCTCGAGAGCGATAGCGCAGTTCGGCGCACCCTCTCGACCGGGATGTACAGCCGCGTTCGAAAAGTTTTGGCACCTCCGGGCCAAACCAACGAGGCAGTCCTTTCTGCTTTGCAATTCCCATATTCGAGACCGTTGTCAGAGAGAGCTGCAATGTCTCTATTGCGGTCATATCTGCCAATAAGTTGAGTATTTGCAAGTACCATGGTTGTTGGTGGGCTACGACTCAATATGGTAGGGCGCCAGTACTTTTCGAATGCGGCTGCACATGTAAGCACGGGAGTTACCGGGACCGAAAAAAAGAAACCCGGAAAAGAAAAAAAAAAAAAAAAAAGATCGGATGGGAGGAGGGATGATGAATAAGCGATCTTTAAACGGCGGTCCCCAACAACCTCAGTCTCTCTCTTCATCTTCTACATTTCCACATCGACACGAACAAATCTTCCCCACCACGCTCACAGCTACCTTGAAGAGCGCCCGCCACCAAATCAATTACAACCTTGCCTCCAACTCCTCCTCCGTCAGATTATATCTTCACCATGGGCTGGTTCTGGGCAGACCCCGTCGAACCCACCGCCAGTGCTCCCGCACCCCGCCGAAACCCTCCCCCAAACCACCCCACCAGTGGCAAACCTCCCGTAAGACCCCCCACCCCCAAAAAAAAAAACCCATCTCCCTCATTGACCACAGCTAAAAAACTCAAACCCCTCAGGCATCATGTCCCATGCACAAGCCCGAGACCACCGCCGCGCCCCCCAAGGACGCCGCCGGCGAGGAGAAAGAGCCCTCAGACACGGGCATGAACCCGCTCAACTTCATGTTCTCCAACCTGCCGCAGACGCGCGCGCCGGGCCAGAAGCTGGTTCTGCCCACGGAGCGCGAAGTGTCGTCGATCCCGCGCGGCGCCGACAGGGGCGAGGGCAACTGGGAGTACCCGTCGCCGCAGCAGATGTACAACGCCATGAAGCGCAAGGGCAACGACCACATCCCCGAGGACGCGGTCGAGAGCATGGTGGCCGTGCACAACTTCCTCAACGAGGGCGCGTGGGGCGAGATTGTGGAGTGGGAGCGGCAGTTTGGCGGCGGGGTGATGAATGCGCTGCGGGAGAAGCAGATGGAGGATGCGGTGGCGGAGGCGGAGGCGGAGAGGGAGAGGGAGAGGGAGAGGCAGAGCGAGCCGTGGCCGAGGTTGTTGAGGTTCCAGGGGAGGAGTAAGGAGTTGACGCCGAAGGCGAGGATCTTGCAGATGCTGGGGAGGGTGTATCCCGAGAAATACGGGTAGGTTTTTTTTCTTCTTTCTTTTTCTTGATTTTCTCGTGGTGGATCGTGTGCTGATAGGAGAAGACCCCCGCCGTTTGACAGACACGACTGGTACGTCCTCCGCGAGGACGGCCAGGAGGTCCGCTACGTCATCGACTACTACTCCGGCGCCCCCGAGCCCACCGGCGAGCCCGTGTTCTACCTCGACGTCCGTCCGGCCATCGACAGACCCTCCGCCATCGCCGAGCGCGCCATCAAGTGGGGCGGCAACGTGTGGGAGAAGGCGAGCGGCGCAGACGTGCGACGGGCCGCAGCAGAGGAGGCGAAGAGGAGGAAGTACTAATCACCAACTACTATCCCTATTATTCTTTTAATCTTTCCGTAGTGTAGTGCGAGTGTTTTGGCGGTTGGTAACAGTAAGAGAGAGAGCAAAAAAAAAAAAAGTTTCCTGGTTCATGAATTCCAATGAAGCAATGTTTTTCTTCTTTTTCGCTTTGGGGCGCTTTGCTTTTCTTTGATTTGCTTGTATACATATATCTTTTTTTCTTTAACGGCTCTGGCTAGTGGGAGTTTTTCTTCTCTTCGTGTGTAAATGTGAGGGGGCGGGGGGGTTAGAAGGTTTAACGGAATCTCAACTCGCTATGTTATGTGTTTGCTGGTTTGCTGCGAACGTTCTTTGTTCCCTCTCTGAATCATGGAATATCACTCGGCCCAATTTGTAGACAAAACGATCATTTCCAGCTCCAAAAGAGGGTAACCAAACTCAGCGTGAGTGGCACTCTAGGCATGACAGGGAATATTCGGAGTGGAATATTACCAAATCAAGTATATGCGCTTCTATGGCTATCTGACAGAAGAGTTCTATAAGGAAGTGCTTGCGTATCACTATTGTGAAATCTAGGATATCCAGCACCAGGTAAGGTAACTTAATTTAGCCGAAAAAAAAAACATGCCATATATAAGCTGTGCAGCTGTGCAGCTGTGCAGCGCAGGAGTTGAATAGCTCATACAGCGGGAAACATTCCTATATACGTACTGGTAGTCGCACTGATATACCGTCCCGAACCTCTATCGTTATCGATATCTACTATAGTAAATATGTACCAACTATAAGTCGGAAATCTTTTTCTTTCTAAGCCCGCCTCCCCTGTTACTTCCTTTCCTTTCCTTTCATTCCTTCCTCTTGAGTCTGCTGGTGTGCATGCATCTAGTCGCGTCGATCAACCGCACGAATACAACATCCCGTATAGACTGGTCGATCCAACTAATTTCTAGTCTTGACTAGATATTAAAACGCCGAAAAGATGGTCATCAAGAGTCCCATTCCAGCATCTCCCGCACGAACCCCATGGACCGGGGGTCACTAACAAAAGTAGATGACACCAATCACAGTCTATCACTCGCTAGCACGATCTGCAACAAAGGGCTTCCCTAAATGTGCAGCTTGAGGTTACCGGGTTCTTTATTCTATTCACTATCCCCTCCCGACAGGATCCCGGTTCCGCTCATGCCGCACTCCCGGTCGCTCGTGCGCTCTGCTCTAACCCGCCTGCATACATGTAGCGAGCCAACGGCTAAAACCTTTCACGACGAGAGCCCAGTAATTCAGTCAAGACCTGCGGTCCCGTCTAAGCGCATGACCAGGTGATCTGGTGAGCAGGCATAAAACCCCACTGCAGGAATACTGCTTAATGAAGGCCTGCGGTATAGAACCAATCACATATGAGAACCTAATAGTACTACTTCCTTGGTTGAAGCCTTGCGCAATATTATACTGTGACGGAGCTGTGAGTCCGCTCATCATATCTGAACAGATGCCATATCAAGCAAGGCCAGAGCCAGCCCCGCACCGTCCCCATCTGAGCAACTTGATTCACTGCACTACCCGCCGTTATCAACCCAGAGACCATGTTCGAGCCTACCTACCCAAGCCAGAGCATCAGCTAGCCAACTCTTTCGCCTTCCAGATCATCATCTTGGCAATGGCCGGCCATTCTTAACCTTCCCGTACGTTTGCGATCATAAACCCAGGCCACGAGCTTTCCCCTGCTTTGGAAGCAGAGCATACGTAATTCTCCTGAAACAGATCGGGTAGGCCAAGCAAACGGCTTCGGCAGACCGGAGATATTCTCGTCCTGTGGCTGCGAGTGAGACGCACGTACATTCAGCTTTTTTTTTTTTTTTTTTTTTTTTTGTTTAATTCATCGCACATTCAGCTGCGAGTGGTAAGATTATTCATGTACTCTAAGTATATGGGAGGAGTCCCATTGGCCCAACCAGCCACACAAACCCGTTTCTATATAATTCTACCTCTGGCTGTATGTAGAGTAGGTACAATGTCAATCCCTGGCAGATCTCTGTCTTGGGCAGGGGTGTCGCGTGTATTGTATGGGACGAAGCTTGGGTCCGATAGATGTACTTCAGACTTGGATAGAGTGCGGAGGGCGAACTAGCTGCCGGTAAATATATCTGTGGCATACAAGCTAGGGGAGGACCAAAGAATCCGATGTAATGGGAAAGAGTCCGCTGGTGGCAAGTCGGCGATGTAGGTACATCCTGGTCTTCAGGTGGAGTGTAAATGTAGCCTAAAGAACCTGAGCGGAGCTTGCCACTGAGACCCACCCCCATGCTGCCAGGAACCACACGAGAGACTGGCAGGGTTTACACGAGCGGAGTGGATCTGGGGTGCTATGTTTGTGTAACAACAGTGCTCCTGTTCTCTCTGAACACTTGTCAGCTCTTACACTCGGAAGCCTTAATTACATGTAGTTATTTAGAAGCGCCTAGATCTATCAAAGTGCCTACCTATATGTTTGCTCATGGTATGTCTCCGCCTCCCGTCGCCACCAAGGAAGATAGCTGCGTCCATAGAGAGTATTTAATGTTGGTACTGCAGTACCTGTGGAATACTCTACGCATGGAAGGGAAGCAAGTTCCCCAAGCGAAACACTGCAGCTGTGCGTTGACGTGCATCAAACCCGGCCAGACCCCGGTCCCCCGTCAACTGCTAAAACATCAACCGAAACTGTAATGAAACCGTACGTTACCAGGATTAACCACCACTCTTCAATATTTAATATAACGTACGTACAAGTGGGGAGAGCTAGAGAGATGGGAAAATGCAATACAAATACCTCTTCTATCCGCACGCACGTGGAGATGTGTGGGGACGTTAATGATGCTGCTGGCCATGCTGAATGCATACTATATTATTCACCTCGTCATTCTTTTACAGCTGCTGGTCGCTTGCGGTTGCAATGGGGAGAGGTTGTTTGTGGTGATGGTAGGGAGGGAGGGGAACGACCTGAAGTTGAGGTTCAGTCCGGAACAGGTGTTTGCAGATGTGGGTGATAGGGTGCAGTTCCAGTTCTATCCGTTGGTATGTTGGCTTTTCTTTTTTTGGGCCTTTTCCTTTTGACTGCTGTATGTATAATGGTGGGATTTATGCTGATGACAGATGAATGCGTAGAATCACTCGGCGGTACAGGCGGACTTTAATAACCCATGCATACCAATAAATAATTCAACAGGAAAGGGCTTCTTCTCCGGTTTTCATCCCCTTCCTCTGAATACAGAGATAGTTGAGTATTCCTATTTATACTTGTTCGTTAGTACTTATTAGCTATTTGTTCTAACACCAGCAACACAATTTAGTTGGCTACATTTACCATTAACGTTACCAGCCCTGATCCCATATTTTTCTACTGTTCCCAAGGCCGCCACTGCCAGCAAGGTTTTGTTGGCGCCATCAACCCGTGAGTTTCACTTACTTCCTTAAATACCTCTGCTCTAACACCTCCAAGAACTGCCGAGCAATCACTCGAAATATTCCGCGACGCAGCCTCAAAAGCGCCCGAGAGTCTCTCGCCGGGCGAGGCCTCTTCTCTCCGTACCGAAACCACCCCTCCACAGCGAGGAGGCTTCCCCACCGGCTTCAACTTCACAAATGCCGACAACGACAAAACCATCACAAACGTTGGTGCCATCGTTGGCGGGGTCCTTGGCGGCGTGGCGGTCTTTGTCATTCTGGTCACGTTTGGGGTGTTTTTGGTTGCGAGGAGGAGAAGTGGAAGCGGACCCCCGGCGGCGAAGGTTAAATATAAAATTAGTAAGCCCGAGATAGTGCAGAATAATGTCAGGGGAGGTTATGGTAAGCTTACTTTCTGAGTTGTTTAGCGTGGTTCTCGTCGGCCTAAGGCTGTAAGAGTAGGATAGAGTTAACCTGGTCTAAATAGGATCGGTGGATGTATAAAAGGATCGGCTGCTGCATATATATAAGGATGGGTTGTGTACTATATGTATATCTATATGAAGGGGGACCTAGATTCCGTACTAATTTCAACTGGTTTGAGGAATTTGGTTTGTATATTTAAAAAAGCTTTTCCATAGTTAGAGCGCCTTGTAACATATTAAGACGTCGGGTTTTCCCTCGTACCTAGCAGTCCACAGCCTTGCGCTCATGAGTAAAATTGATTCTCTTGTACCCTTCATTCCAGCCAGTTATACTCTTATTTATTCTATAGAGCATCCAGTAGCCTCATGGATTTATGTTGAAAAGGAGAACGGGACCGTTAAGTGACTTGATTAATGCATGGAGAAAGACAAAGAGTCTGAGCTAGGCATACAGTCACGAATCGGACAGGATAGATGTTGACATGATAGGTGTCAACACGCTATGTGCCATGATTAAGCCTCGATAAATAGATCACTTATTCGGGCTCGATATCATTTGAAAAGCCAAGTGTCTAATATAATAACCTATGTTACACTATAGAAGAGTATATACGGAAGATCTTTAACTTCTTGGTTGACTTGCTCGACTATCATAGAGAGCTAGAGGGAGCATATCAAGCCCTTTTATTCACAAAACAAGAGGGTGGCTAGCTGTGGGTCATGCTGTACTTCGTCGTGGTAGAATATTGTCATGGCAGGGTTAGGTTTCTCTAGCTCCTCTTACTCTCGCCTTGCCCCGCCCCGTTAAGTATTACTTTCGGGCCACTGACAGTTGTGTAGGCGAGCGTGGTCTAGTGGTAGACTACCGGACTGTTGATCCCAACAATCCGCGCGAATTGAGCCCATAGACCGGCGAAGGGTATATGGTCATAGCATCACGTTTTGTAAACTCTGGCCCGTAACCGCAGCTTGATTATCTTAGCTTCTCGCTCATAATTTGGTCTCCCTCTCCCCCCATGGTCAGGGCCGGTTTAGCGAAACCTTTCTCAAACCATATTCTTTTATAGTATAGTAGATTTGTGCCAAGGAGAGACACGATAATGCTCCATCTTGACATATATAACCATGGTCTTCTGTAGGTTTCTCAGAAAATAACCGTCCCATGATAAGTAAGACATTGCTCCCGGGCTCATGCCGATATTAATTTCAATAATCTACATCAACCCTGTTTGAATCGAGTGATTGTTCATGAGTTAATATCGCGTCATGCACGGTCAGTCGATTAAGAGTGTTGTGACAGATCTAGAACGAGATCTTGATGTAAAAAGATTGTGAAATAGGATAGTGAGAAACTACATGTAATCACTTGATCAACAGATGAGGTCACTTTGGCTACATGTACTTATCTCTACAGTTGCGGATTATCGGGAAAGGGAAAGCGTCGGGATGGCAGAGTACACGGCTTCGTTATCAGTCAGATATGCAAGGTAAAGCTGGCCTACTCGTTGAAAATGGATGGAGTTCTTTGTTATACGGTATTTTAGAGCTATTCCTGAATGGACTGTACTCTTTAGTCGGTTTGGTTTGTTGGCGTAGATATTATGTGACTCTAAGGATAACAAGGAGACCAAACACCGACATATCTCTGGGTTCTTTACGATGTATTTTTCTGCCTCATACCTAGTAGTTCTAGGTACCATGCAGACTCGAATATTTTCGGTAAAAATTTTTGAAAAACCCTAACCCACGTCCGGCGCCCACGGCACAACTTCAATCAGCTCACCTGGCTATTGCTATGGTATTGTACTACATGCACTAAAATTGTTTTTACCCCTCTCCTTTTATCTCGCTAGGAATGGCCAATGACCAGCTACACATCCATCTCAAATATAATAAACGAAACACTATATCATAATTAGACTATATGAATTGGTACTAATTAACCACCGGTATAACCATGTCCAGCTGTCAGTGAACAAACCCTAAATTCACATTACCTGTGCCATCCATCCGCTGCAGGTACATATAGGATTACATACATAATTATAAACCTGCAATATTCGATCCTGTCGGTACTGATGGGATAGGGTATTAGTCCGCGCCATCGGCGTTTCTATCACCGATGAACTGCATTGATATAAAGCACTCCACGTATATGTACCCCTCAATTTAATTAAAATGCGTGTATATTTAAGCAGCAATCATGAGTAAACGAGCGAATGAGATCGTCATGTTTCGATGTAGGAGATGTGTTTCCGGTGGCGAGAAAAAAACGAGGAGAAGGAAGGCTAGAAAGAGTGAAGGGAAGGTGTGCTGTAATACTCATGTACCCCACGTTAGCACTGGACCATGTAAATTAATTCGGCTTGGGTTTCCGGTATTCCCTGTTGCTGTGCTTAGTCAATTTTGTACTGGCTGGGCGGGAGGACAATTGATCCCTGACCCTAACATTGGATCTGGATGTAGACGCTCGTGAAATATCAATGCAGGTACCGTATTTGATATTGCGCAGTACAGCTATGAACTATAGAAAAACAAGGTTGAGGATTATGTTCGGAAATCAGATCGCTGCAGGGTTTTGTTGGAATATTGGTATCGCTGATGGCAGAAATTTAGACTAGTACGTATACATGTTGAAGATTAAATATAGTTCTGCGCAGATGAAATTCGAAATGTTAACCTTTGAGGTGTTAGAATGAATTGAGTCATTAAATATCACTCGGTACGTGGTAGTAACCAACCTCAAAAAGCGCTAGTGAGTAAATCTGCATATCCAGCCACGCCACAGATATATGTAGTATTCTAAATGTAGGCATATCAGGAATATAAGTTAGTTGCTCAATAAGTACTTACGTCAATTACTCAAGCGCACATGTAGCACCAGTGAGCTATGGTGTTTTACCTCACTACGTGTATGGTAAATTATAAATATGAGATCAATTTCACGATAGGACTGCAGTACTAATATTGACAAGATATAGGGGGCACAGCGCCTGCCAATTACAGGAACATAAAGTACAGCTGCGGCGTGAAACCTGTATTGTAGAAGCCAAGATTCACGTGTTTAAAAGACTTGGGATATATATAAGAGGTGGCTTGATGAATTGACTTAATGTAGCTAGACTAGTTCCGTACCTACGGAACTTCTGACCGTTGAAGAAATATATGGCTGCAACAGGGTGCGTGCATGTAGCACAATGTTGAATGTTCTCTCAATTACATGTATGGTATCAGTTCCTAGCTTCACGCTCAATATATGTACGTATACATTAATTAGCGCCAAGCAGGTGAATCTTGCTTTCTGAGTATTATACAGCACACTAGAGAATAACACGGCAATGGTCACTCGACTGGCCGAGCTCAAGGACATATTGCACTCGCTACTCATGGAAATACTAGAAATCCGGCCCCAACATTAGAATACTTCAAAGCACCCAACTAGGGGATTAAAGTCTATTCTATATACCCTGAATCCTACCATACTGGATTTATATAGGAGAAAATCTCTATCTTGTGTCTGTTAATACCGACAAAGAACAAGAGGAGAGCGCCGCAATGCAATACAGCGCGAAATAGCCGCATTGGAGCATTCAAGCAACATGACCTGTGCAGCAAGTCCTGCATAGCACGCTATTGAGACGGCTGGAAGCGCCCTGAAGGTCACTCTCATGAAATGATCAGATGATAGGTCTTTCGACGCTACTACTGTACTTTCCTAGATCTCCAGCTCTTCAATAGATCCCTTCATGATGTCTACCCTGGCAAACGGATGTACCTACTGAAATTTAGGAGTACATCGTCGGTAGTATACTCTACATATGAGGGTATCCTCGATCTTGTGCTCAGTTCAGCTTATCATAGGCCGAAGAGGGATCTGGTGATGCGACATCAAATTTGCGCTCATAATCAAACACCAACCAAGCTATCCCAACTAGGTGATCCTCATCTATACTTAAACCTAAATAAATACTCGTATGAGAGTTTTTAGACTCGTGATCTCCGAGATATATATCACGAGAAGCTTAGCCTTCAACGTCGTTCAAGTACGATAATATGTGTGTCACGAAAGCCACAATCACAAGCTCAAAATTCGAAAGATCCGATACCAGGAACCAAAGTCGGAATAAGCAACCGATCAACTTATTTCTGATATTAAAACAACCCCACCTGCAAAGAAATTGGGTCCCGGGAATTTGTAACCTAAGAGTTTGGGCCCCCAAATCTCTGGCGCCAAGTGGCTACCTACACCGCATGAAAATAATTTTTACAGGCTTTAGCCGAAATTGGGAAAAAGTCCAATATATTTTGCATAGTCGTACCGTACCCATGGCGCAGCTGGAAACGCGTGATTACTGTGCTTTCACGTATGGTTGTCGACCAATCCTTTCCCAATTGACACCATGTAGGTACTTTACTAGTGCTGAGTCGTCTCTATGACCGATCTCGCGCGCGGGGAAAGACTAATCCTTTTTCGAACTCTATTCTCCCCACAATCTCCAGCTTTCCCCACCAAGTAATAAGTGGTTATGTGGCTCTCGGTGTGGCGGCTCTACTGTAATATCGGGCACAAAATGGTTCAACAGACGTTATCAACAGTTTGAATGCCGTATACCATATGCCATCAAGTTTGGAGCGGTTCATACCATAAAACCACCTTCATGGAGATAAGGTTGCAGATTTCTCGCTATCTGCAAATAGAGGTGTGATCAGACTTTTTTAAAAATATATCACAGCATGCTTATCTTGAGGGACAAAAGATATGAGTTTGGCCTAGATACTGGATACGAAATCACAACACTGGCTATAAGTACTGGCGTGGCCTGACCGATAAATTGCGGCGAAGATGATCCTTAGTAAATCATAGCTACACCTAGATATACCTATCTGGGGGCGAAAAGAGGAGTTGATCACTACAACGCATAATGTATATGCTTGTTATACCTATTGGCGTCAACTTTGATCCTATTTCATTGGTGACTGACTGAGTTGCAGGGCATATGTATGCCTACATGAATTATTCTAGAAAGAAAAACAAATGAGAAAATTCCCGGCTTCGAGGCCCGCAAAAATGGACCCCACAAAAATGGACCCCACGAAATCGTAAAGCAATTCAAGCCACAGAAGAGATTTTGTGCAACATTTAGCCTCAGCAAGCGGCTCAAAATAAAGAAAAACGGCCTGACCTGGAAATAAACTTGGAGGCTAATTCTTCCGGTACCTTTATGTAACAGCTGCCTTGCATGGAAGACGGAATGACGGGCCTCAATCCCGAGGGACCGTGGATGTACGGCGTGGCCTGGCCTATGGTAACATACAAACCCCACGAAGAACAAACCCCCGCGCGGAGAAACCTGACACTGACCGTGTAAGCGATATTTCTCTGGGGTCGAACTGAGTATTGGCCCCAGGAACATGGTTAAAGTGTAATTTTTTAATATAGTGGGGTTAAGAAAGCCATGACAATGGAAAGTACATATAGGACGCTTCCCCAGCTCCTGATAGTAGTTCTCCTGATAGTAGCTCTTGTTCATTCACCATCATTCTCTAGATCTTTCAAACGGTCAATTTGAAAGAATCAGACAGTCAACATGGTTCCTAATCCCAACCAAAAAAGTCTCCAAGCCCAGATTGAGGCACCAAAGTTCGCAGAGGTTACATGGTACAAAGATGCAGGTCTAAGGAAACTCTATGGCCTCTGTGCAATCATTATCTTGAGTTCTGCAACAACTGGTTTCGATGGGTATGTTTTAGCCACTATATATTTTGACGCGTATACGCACTAATGGCATTATAGGTCTATGATGAACGGTTTACAGATGGTCCCTGCGTGGCAGGACTTCTTTAACCATCCTAGCGGATCAATCCTCGGGCTCTTCAATGCCATCATGGGTATTGGGTCTATCTGTGGTCTTCCATTTGCGTAGGTTTTTCCTCAACACCATCCAGTGGATTTCATAAACTAACAATGATCATAGGCCCTACATTTCCGATTTTCTAGGTCGTCGTCTTGCCATCTGTACTGGAATCTTCTTCATGATGCTCGGTATTGCCGTCCAAACAGCTTCTCAGAACTTTGGCATGTTCGTTTGCTCCCGATTCTTCATCGGATTCGGCTGCTCTATCTCCCAAGCTTCTGCTCCCCTTCTTCTCACAGAGATCTGCCATCCCCAACACAGAGGTAGAGTCACTGCTGTCTACAACACGACCTGGCACATTGGAGCTATCATTGCCACCTGGGTGACCTACGGAACCTTCAAGATGGAGAGCGATTGGTCATGGCGATCCCCATCTATTATGCAAGCTCTTCCTTCAGTGATCCAGCTCACCTGTCTCTGGATGGTCCCCGAGTCACCACGTTGGCTCCTATCCAAGGACAAGCCTGAGCAGGCCCTGAATGTCCTAGCTAGATATCACGCCAACGGTGACACCCAGGACCCACTTGTCCAGTTCCAGTACCAGGAAATCAAGCACACGATTGAGATGGAGCAGAGTGTTAGCAAGAACACCGGATGGTCAGAACTGTTTGCCACTAAGGGTAACCGCCACAGAATGATTCTGATCATGACTGCTGGTCTTTTCTCCCAATGGTCTGGTAACGGTCTCGTCTCATACTACTTTGGTGTTGTCATGAATACCATCGGCATCACAGATGCAGACACACAATTCAAGATCAACGGAGGGTTGTCTATCTGGAACTGGATCGTTGCCGTCTCCTTTGCGTTCTCCGTAGATAGGTTTGGACGTCGCCCCTTGTTCTTGGCCTCCACGTCCGGTATGCTGGTTGCATTCATCGTATGGACCATCTGTTCAGCCCAGTACGCGCTCCATGAATCCAAGGCTGCAGGCCAGGCAGTTGTGGCCATGATCTTTATCTATAACACTACCTACAACTTCGCCTGGTCCGGATTGTTGGTTGCCTACTCGGTAGAGATTCTCCCGTACAGCATCCGTGCTAAGGGTCTCATGTAAGTTCTCATCTTTCAGTCTCTCAATTTGCGCATCAGTTCTAACAAAAAAACCAGGTTGATGAATCTCTGTGTCCAAATTGCTCTCGTGTTCAACCAGTATGTCAACCCTGTTGCCCTTGAAAGAATCGGCTGGAAATACTACATCTTTTACTGTGTCTGGATCGGGTTCGAGTTGATCGTTGTCTACTTCTACTACGTCGAGACCAAGGGACCAACGCTCGAGGAGATCGCAAAGATCTTTGACGGTGATGATGCAAAGGTTGCAAGGGTCTATGTAAAGGAAACGGGCGAGGTCCTGTCAGATCTGACCCCTGTTCAGAGCTATTCCGGTGAGAAGGGGACTTCTCAGGTGGTAGAGAGGCCGTCGGATGCGCATGTTTGAGTGTGTACATTATAGTACCTAGGGTTTAGTTTCATTTTTTGGTTGTACTGGGGGCGGGAAATGTTTTTATTATTGAAGCTTAGTCTTTTTATTGATTTGATCTCTGCTAGGCCAGACTTGACAGTCGGGGCCGGAGAAAAAAAAAGAAAAGGAAAGTTTTCGTTCAGTTTATGTAGTTAGCTACTTTTGTAATACGAGGAATGCAGTCAAATTACGAGTGAACAAGCATAGGGACAGGCATACCCCAAAGAAATTCTCTTTCCCGTGCGAATTTGCGGGGTGAAATAATTAAAGCTTGCCGCATGTAAAGTACAAGTACGACATACTTCCCTGTGAGGTCCTGGATAAAGTTAATCCAACCCCAGATGGAAGACTTGGCAACCGTTACGCTATATTTTGACGGTCCCACCAGTGGGAGGGATTCCCGGGTACGCGCTGGAGCCTGGGTGTTGTTAGTCTTACTCTACTAGTACTATCCTGGAACGGGAAACACTAACAATAGGCTAAATTCGAAAGCTTGTCTGAGGTTTCTTGATATTCGTATTCTGCGACATATGCATCATAGTCTCAATTTACTGCTCTTAAGAATCTTTAAAAAGTAAAGTATATAGCTATCGCTGGGATGGATGAGTTAAGGGCTGAATTTGAAAGCTTGTCAATCTGAGATCGAGATCCGTTACGTGTTCTGCGGCCACCTAATAGTACTGCGTTCCAGTCGACGTCATGTAGAGACAGGACAAATGTCAGCTGTGCTCAATGCAAGGCACGGTATACACATGTCATCCATCAAGCGGTTCACATTCTCGATGACCACCCCAGGCCGTTTATCTAGCTATAATTGATTAGGTTCTCTGACATCCTTCCCCAGAGGTCTTCTCCTACTATTCAGCATCGATTAATCTGACACAACAACTTCTTGGTCAGCTTATTTCATATAAAACCCCAGGGGAAACTAGCTGTAGTACAAGGTATGTACTACCAATCTATAACATTTGATAGCGAAAATCGGGGATAGAGTGGTCTAGACAGGTTAACGGCCTACCGGAAAAACAATCTGGCTAATCGTGGGGTAACTTCAAGTTAGTAAATGTATATAGGGAACCTTCATCAAGCTAGGGAAAACTGTTAGTGGTACAGAGGTTACAGCTGGGCTTGTTAAGGATGATCGAAAGAACCGGGACCACTATGAAGGTAATATCTGTTAACGTATTTTCGATGAGAACGAGTAAGTTCAGCGTATTTGAAGTGATAAAAGGACGAAGTAATGGCTAGCGAAGAGACGGAACGATGAGCCCCCGCCAGGGCCCCCGCCCCCAGAGGGCCTACACCACTATTTTAACAACGGCGAGCCACTCAATCGGTTACTTTATATTTCTTATCAATCAATTGATCTTTCACCAAATTACGACCCTCTATTATAGGGTGACCACGTGGGCAGCATAGACAGACGAGGAGCTAGGGGAACTTGGACTCGACCTCACTAATCTGTGTCAAGACATCCAAGCAGAAACTTTCAAAGTCCGTTCATTATATTTCCGATAATCATGCAGAGTAATAGTTCCCTTCCAAATTCAAACGAAACTAAACTTCTAAGAAACAACTAGCTCCAGATTCAACTTCCAAAAAATATTTCTTTCTAAAGAGCCAATTGTATCAACCGGCAATCATCGAGATCTCGCTACGGTGCACATAAACAATCAAATCTATCTCGTTTTCTCCATATAAATCGCGGAGATTCTCACTCCTTAGAATTGCTACAGCCGCCCTCCGACGTCTCAGCATTATAATTATCATTCGTCGGCATAGCAACTGCCCCCCAACTCCACCGCAGCAATATCTTCAACAAGTCGCAAAATAGGATCAGCGATACTAAAGTCACCAAGATGCACCAAAGTACGGTGAACGCCAATATCCTGATCTCGTCCGAAAAGTTATGCATGGCCATTGAAATCTCGGCCGCGAGTTGGGTTAAGAGAGGATAGGCGTTGGTGGGTTCAGTTTTGAAGAAGTAGTCGTAGTAGGAGGTCATTGCTAGTTTTGAGTTAATTTATAGTGCGTAGAGAGAGCTTGACAGATATACTAATAGCGTTTGTGTGGATATGCTATATTCGTGTGGTAGGTATTTGGTGTGTGGTAGAGACAGATAGCAGGTATGGCTTCATACTTATACTGTAGTATAAAATGAAGTATGGGGGGCTACCATAGGGTATGGCACACGCTGACAGACAATTATCGATACTTGATACTTGATAATATATCCTAACTAATAGCTTTCAGGTTTCAAATGACGCGGGGAGTGCATTAGTCACGATCTATCACTCGATTTCACATCGACTGATCTTTTTTCAAGCCTGTTCAGCAACAGGCCGGGATAGAGTTTAGACCCTTAAAAATTTCGTTCAAATATCTCTCTGTTGGAATTTCTCTATCGAAACCCCCATTTTATGCTGTTGGCCGGCGGGTCCTAAAATATGATGAAGACAACAGACAAAGGAACGGCGTACATATACATGTAGTCGAACACTGTACCCTCTAAGTAGCCTCGCCTGCAGCTGAAAGAGACACCTAATCAACTAATACTGAGAACATGCGTTTATCGAGCGCTAGTTTGCCAATGTTATATTGCTCAGAGTTATCCAACGCATGCTACAATCGACAATATAATATATATATTCTACTAGCTATCGAGCTCGAGATTGATCTGCTGTATAAGCCTAAGATTCATGCCAAGGGGTAAAAAACTCTAGAAATATTTGACACCAGAAGTTTCCAAGAAATAACCGTCTCTTCGCATAGTTACCTGGTCCATAGGATCTCAATGTTCATTTTGTGCAACGGAAGCGTCCGGACTTGACATATTTCAAGACACGTAATTAACAGCATTAACTTTTAATTTCAATTCATTCTGTCCTCTAGCCATAGTCACCCGGCAGTTCTAATTAACGAGTCTAACATTCTCCAGAAAATATCTCAACCACAAAACCATTAAAAAGGTCCCATTACGTCATCGCAGGGTCTTTAAGGCCTCCTCAGGTACACCCCAAGCGTTTTATCTCCTTTCTTCGCGCCTAACTTTTCCTTCTTGATGCTACTATCTAGATCTACCATATACAGGCTTAGCAGCATTCCGTTCCCACGACTCCCACACCATCAACATACATAACAAATCACCAAGCACGACCAGCGAGACTATAGCCAGGAGGAGACACCAAATTACGGTAAACCCTATCACTATAATGAAGTCCACCGGATAGGAATAGATGGCGAACAGTATTTCGGCTAGAATAGTTGTTAAGAGAGAGTAGCGTCGGGGGGCCGGTTCAGGCTCATAATCATAATCAAAGTCGATGTCGTAGTAAGGGTTCATAGTCATGGTTGTGTTAGTTTGTATTGATTCTACGGTGTAGGTGCATGTGTTACAAATGTTACTTTTGGTATGCGAGATGTTTAGTGAGGGGTAGAGGTGGCTTTGTGTTAATTAATAATGTAGAATACTTAACTTACTACAGTGTGTGTGTGTGCACGTAGTATATATATCACTGGGTTGGGATCAATGATTATTGATCATACTTGATACTTGATACTTGATAGCTCAGTTATTGTTTTGGATTTCAAGTGAGATATAAGCCGAGTCATGATCGATCACTCGATTTAGATTAGAGTCATGGCGGATTAAGAGTTATATTACGTTGTTTATGGCCATGGCCTTGTAGTTTAAATCAGCAAATCTTGGGTTTTTCCTAGGCCTGTACCCGTTATAAGTCACTATTTCTTACATTCATAAGCTACGACGAATTTCATTTGTTACAGGCTACTAGTCTGTTATTTCATGATTATCTCATGTTTTCTGTTCTTTTCTTAGTGTGTGAGAGGCGGAGGAAGTGATTGGGAAGTTCTGGGGCAGTGTGATATTGTCATAGACTACGGTCTGCATACAATTAATGAATTAAACAAAAAAAAAAGAAAAAAAAGAAAAGAGGCCTGTACCCGTTGTTACTCTCGTGGCATGTGAAGGGGAATAAATTAAACATGCTATTAATCGCGCACAAAAAAGGTACATCAACTGATCTGGGGGTAAAAGGCAACTTGCTTAGACGGAAGATTAGACGATAACACCGTAACGCGCTTAGTTATTACACTAGAGAAGGGATAGGTTGAGAGAAAAGGGAGGGAGACCCGCTCATTTCCTTCCCTGAGCCTTAAGCTTTGGGTGTGTGTTTTTGATTGTTTTATTTTTATTTTTTTTTGTTCATACAGACGTTGAAATGTTGGAGTAATGTAGATACATGTAGTTCCGGTCATACTATTGATTGATTGATACTTTATTTAATTTCTCCAGCCGGGTCCAACTCTCTGACCTTCTAGCTCTTCTGAGTGCTGAGTGCCTCTTGGTTGTCGGCCGCAACTGTAATTATCTTCTTTCTTCTTTTGCCGCGTCTTTCAGCCCTAATTCGACAGCCTTCTTTATCCCTATCATTTCTGCGTCCATGATCTCCATCTGTTTCCCAGTCTGAATCCTGTTTTCCTGATCACTCCTCCCGTCCTTTCCTATTCTAATAATGCCTGTAGCTGTTCAGTCTCTTTGCTTGACTTCCTCTCCATTTTCTTATTTATAACTCATACTATACTACTTACATCCGAACCCGGGTATGACTTTCTCTCAAGAAATGCGAAGGATATGAACGTGCCTTTGTCGATTTCCGGTTATAGTATTCCTGAATCTGGTTTCCCTCCATCCCTCGATTGCTCAGCACCGATAACCCAATTGTTGGTTGCCGGGGGGTGCACGTTAGTGCATTTACCGAGTCTTCGTAATGGGCTGTTTCCCCTAACTTCGTTCAGAATTGGCAATTCTGGTGTATAAAGCTAAGTTGAGAGGATGTCGGAGGTTGAATGCGAAGATGGTGATGGGGAAAAGCAGAGGCCATAAACGACCTTTTGACAACCATAGAATAAAATGCAGGCGAGGGATATTGATATTTGACTTCGAAGGCCGGTGATGGAAGTGGATAAGGTGCCGATCGGAGGTCGAAAGGTAAATTTAACGACAGATAAGATTAATAATTGATAATTCATTGATTGTTTGCAGCCCGGAGGCTATGACAATAGTACCAAAATCAGTCGGGTATGTACTGGGGATTGAATACGAAAGTGGTGATGGATAGAAGATTGGATGCGATGATGGGGACTATGTGGTTAATTACGTTTAGTGCAGCGAGAGCTGCCCATAAGGGTGTATATGAGAATAATGCCGTATTAATTGGCTAGCGGAGGGAAGGGCGTGCTTTATACCTTTCTTTTTCACCAAACCCTACGAGTACGGAGTCGTTTGGTTTTCAGAAAATAAAGGGTAGATTCCAGCTAGACGCCCACTAGACGCCCACTAGACGCCTACCCCACCCTTTTCTGATACTACATGTAATCTTCCACTGGGTGGGCTAGCTTTGGTTATCCGGGCCACTGGGGGAGGGGTGGTGTTGATCCCCCACATTATAGCTCAGAGCACACCTACTCTACATCATGTATTTTAAGCATAAATCTTATTTTCCATACGAAGATGGTTATCTGCCTAGCCTTTCCCTTCGAATCGTTGGTGCTAGGTTTTCACAGAAATGATATTAAAAATACGTCAAAGGCCAGATTAGGAGAATCGATCTTCTAAAAACACCGCAGCATTATTTCCTGCTGCTAGGGTTAGGTATGTTTTCGTGAGGCTATATTATCACAAAACCTCCATTACCACACGCTCGCTGCTACTTCCTCTCTCCACCGCAGCACTGGCAGCAAAAACACACCTAACCCTGACACTGCCGATCAAGTCGTCTATCAATCCTTAAGACCCCGCGAAGGACTATGTTCGGAAACTGGAAGTGTAGAGATAATTTCAATTTCTCCTGGCGTCCTCTTCTTGGAATTGACTTGGAGGTGAGGGTCGCGGTCAGGACCGGGGTCGAGAGTATGTGATGCTCATGGCCGAAACTCTGACAGCATCGATCCCATTCTACTCCCAGAATACATTCTAAGTAAGTTGCATGGATCCATCCTTATAGGTTGTTTATATGTGCTGCACTGGAGTAGCACCAGTGCCGATGGTGATCAGATCGAGCTAATTCTCGATTCGATCCTCGATTCGACGTCTCATGGAGTCGAAAGCAGCAGTCTACATCTTCTTGACATACCAAATGCGTACGATCAAGACCTGCGGCCTGTGGCCTGTATTGAGAGCGCCCCTCACCTCTACGTCCAAGTAGACAGTTCTATCGATTCCTCAGCCAGCTCAGCCTTGTTTTCGGGTCAAGCATGATACCTTTACGTAGGCCAGGCTTGAGTACCTTGATCGTTTGCAGGCCCAAGCTTTTCTCCCACTTCACTTAGACGAGCTCGGCTAAAGCGGGTGGGGAAGGTGGATTGGCCTCAATGCCATTCACTTACTCAACATGGAATTGGGTGTCACACAAGGGATAAGTCGGCATCTCGATGTAACACTGCACTGCTCGCTGCGCGAGTGAGCTTTGAGTAACTTAAGATATCACTTAATATATCACAAAAGTATATATGCACATGATATTACCGTTAGGCGTCCTAGCAAAATGGCTAGGCGTTCTAGAATGTCAGGAGACTGTCATAAGTACGCAGATGTAGGGCTAGTAGCTATCGGCTGTATTGTAGTATTGGGACGCTGGGACGCTCGCTCGGAATCCTACGCACTGAATATTTGGAGCCTTGACGTCTGGTGAGGATATTTCACAACAGGTAACTTCTTCACTGCCCTAAAAAAATATGAAGCTTGGGGAGGAGGACGACGCAGAGCTAGAAAATAGGTGATTATGGCCTAATAACTAATCTAGATAATGGTCATAGATCAATCAGCTGATTAGACTTGATAATATAGAGTTTAAAATATGAGCAGTACCAAAAGCTTCTTGGTTTAATATAGAGGTATATTATTGTGCTATATGCATGCACCCACTCGACCCCCAAAATAGATAAGATTTTACGTTTCTAAAGTTTACGCCTAGCCTTAGGAAACAGATACATATAAGATTCCACATTTCTAAAGCTTAGGCATAGCCTTAGAACGGCAGTTCAATTTGGGCTCTTGTCAATTATAATATTTAGTAGTTTTACTCTCACTGAAATTCCAATCTGACGAATTCGACAAAGACAGTCTCACCTAGCTATCCGCGGGATAGATTGTACCCGGCGTACCGCGCCAATCTTGGTAGTACCTGGGCTCTATGAACCATATCAGGTTAAGGCTGGCTTTGTTCTCAATATCGGGGAGCACCATGCTCGTCAATTTTGGTTTATTAATTCAATAATTGCATGACACATCAGTGTTCATTTCAAGCGTCAGGTTTGAAAAACTCTAGATTCTAAGAGTTTTAATGACCCTACTAATAATGATTAGGTTCACATTATGGAATATCTAAGACACAACATGTATTCTACGTTCTCGACTGAATAAATAGAAATACGATATTATTAAGTAGACCACATACAAATATTGAGGGGGAAAAAAGGAAAAAAACCTTACTGATGACGGCCGCTTAGGCGTCCACGTTCCTTCGAATCTCAAGTTTTATATTTTCACCAAATAGATCTGGATATACATATATTCTTTCTATTTTCCGTTTCTGTTTCTTGAGCCACGTGGGCTCAATTATAGTCTTTCAAACGAAGTACGACCGTCCTGGGAGAACTTCAACTGACGTATCAAACATCTCCTTTTATATACGTCATGGTTTAGCAGATAAAGCGTTCATCTGGAATTCTATCGCTCACCAATTACCATATATATAGATAAGTATGCAGATCCACCATATATTCTCTGCACCGCACTAGAAGGATGAACCAAAAGAAAAAAGAAAAGCTAAATGTAATCACCCCGATCACCTCGAGACACAAATGCCGGACGACTCTTTGATTTTCTTGATGGGGTAACCCAACGATTCATGATGTCTTTTTAATGGGGGCCGGCCAGTCAACTGCAAGGAAGAGTCGAGAAATCAGCCTTGCCTTGATGAAATATCCACTAGAAGCACACATGCGCACAGAGCTCGGTCTGCCTAGCTCGACAAGTATCCGATTCGACCGAAGTACATACTATACAAATCAATTGGCCGGCCATCCTAGCGTCATATATGGGCCGAGATCCCGGAGCTATCAGATAATTGGATTTAGACATATTACTAGCTGGTTACGATACGGCACATGAACTTACTTCATGAAAGTATATTATGTATAGCGTCGGATACCCTCCGACTTGCTACATGTAGGTAGAAAAAGGCCGTGCCGGTTATGGCTTCTGAGGAGGAATAGAGTTTGAGAAATTTCGGTATTCCTTCCACCCCCGGCCTCCTCCGCCTAGCCTAGATCCATGAGACCTATGGAAGAAACAGCTAAAAGCGGGGGTAGTCCGGAACACGTATTTCAATATAGAGTACTCGTCCGTCGGTACTCTAGAAAGTTTCGAATTTGAGGTGAGGGCCGTCTCATATGCTTATCATCATCTTGAGACTGTCTAACTGTGTGTTTGGCCTAGCGCTGTCCCGGGCTATGTCTGTATGGAGTAATGTCTCTGACAGCTATCTTTGTGGTTCGTCAGTAACATATCGGAGTTATGTAGCTGGGTACCAACAGAGTTTTACTCTGCGGAGCTTTTTTATACACGTACCACTTCATGCATTTGCTGATCCCAGGGTTACGCGTACACTGGGCACCGAGTCGGTCTGGAGGTGCTGTAGAGTACATACATCTTGCTCTGGTTATCTAGGAGTACATGGAAGTAAGGTGGTTCACTGCACTGAAAGATACGATTTTCGATAATGAACCCTCTACCACGTCGCCGGCGGCCGCGGGGAGCGGTGATACCGCGCGGTGCTAATGTAATGCGGGCAGGTGCAGCGACAGACCGATCACGTGAGTTGAAACACGAAACATTATTGTACTGGCTGACATTTATGGGTTGTAGGTTTGATGGAGGTCAGATGGTCATACAGTTTACACTTTCACCTCCGGTCATCAGGACCGGAGAACAGCTTCATTCCGAACTCTGTTTCGATCTCACCCTTTGAGCAAGCGACGAGAAGCACATCACAGCCCGATGGTTGCCCAAGTTAATGTTGAAATTAACTCTGGGTTTCCTAGATTATGACTGATATAAAATTATCTTTCTATCTAATTAAGCGCAAGCTCGCTGGTCAGACTCCTATTTATGAATGGCCGGTACAGTAATACATGATCAATAACCGACCCTGCGTTACCACCGGCCGCGTTAAACCATGCAATGGTCGTTTACTCTGTACTTGCCTTAGGTTCTAATCTCAGTAAGTGCCTTAATTACTCCAGTGCGCTAGAAAGGAGATGTATCCCATAATCCGGTACTTAGATGCTGTCTATTTTGAGACAAAATAATTACCAAAAGAGGAAGGGTGGCAGCCGAATATGTTCTAGATACAAGCCACAGCTGAAAATACGCCACCCGAATCAATAGTCAGCTTTAACGGACAGTTGGGATACTATGCGCGCTAATTTTACATTTCAACAACCACGCCCAGCTGAGACAACAACCCACTTAATACCCAATTACAGTGTAACCTCGAAATTTATATGCCAACGAGTGGCTACAACTGTAGTTGAAATTAACTTTCAGTAGATCAGGTCCCTGCGGTAGGGTAATGAGCACGCGAGCGGCGAGGAGTGGGCCCTATCGGCTATCCCCACCGCAAGCAGGGCAAACAAACACTCCATGAAGGGACCAGCGCAGATGAGCTAGCCACGCCACGCGCAGCACCCCACAAACCGTACCTGAAGCTCATCTCAGCTCATCTCGCCTCACATCAGTTTCGCGGCGCCCGGGGGGGCTATTATATGTCCCGGCAATACAACTTCACCATACAAGCTTTTTTATGTTGCACAGCCACCGCGCGAGCCTGCCCTGTTTCAGAAGACGAGCCCGATTTTCTATTTAGGTCTACATTCCAGTACCATGGTACCGTGGGCGCCGCGCTGCAGGCACCATCGGTTTACAGATGAGGTGTGGGGAGTGATTGTGGGGCGGGGGTGGGGTGGGCGGTGCGGGGCAGTGCGGTGCGCACACTACGGGGCCGGGTTGGCCAATTGGGGTCAATTGTCAATTGATCATAACGCAGTTTTTATTGTGTCGAATTAGAACTGTAATTAAAAAGCTGTGACGGCAGAATCCGAGAAAGCAAGAAAAAACCACCCAACGCCTGTAAAATACACAAATGAAGGAGTGTCGACTCCGTGATATTCCCAAAGACAAGAGAAAAAAAAAAAGAGAAAAAACCAATACAAAGAATAGGGATCGGAAAGATTCGAGCCAGTGAAAAAGGGTGCAATCAAGCAAACGAACAGAGAGTTCTAAAAAGACACAATAAATGAAGAAAGCAAGAAAGAGGACACAAAGAAATTCATGAAAATCCCCCTCCGCACACACATCCTACGCGCGCTGAGTCCTGTCCAGCCTCTTATCCACTGCACCCATCACCGCCTTCAGTATCCCATCCGCACTGAGCCCCTTCCCCTCATTCATCCTCCTCCAACTAATCGTATCCACCATATCCCTCACGCCCTCCCCCTCCACCAGCTCATTATCCAGCTCCTCCAAACTCTCCGTCGCCGCCTCATCATTCCCCACCTGAAAGAACTGCACGCCCACCTGTCTATCCTTCGCCCCCATCGCATCAAGGCTCTTCGCACAATCCACAATACTCCTCTTCAACTTCCCCGGATCCGTCGGCTCCCCATCCGTAATCACAATGATATTCAACGGCTTGATGCCCGCATTCCTCCTATACGCGGCCAGATACACCTCGAGAATCTCGCCGAGGCGCCTGCCCGTGGGGGTCGCACCGCACGGCCGCACGCTGCCAAAGATGGAGAGCACCTCGGCGGACGAGCGGATCTGCGTGTGGGCGCGCGGGTGGTTGAGGAAGTAGATGTCGACGCCGTCGGCATCGTGGGACGTGCAGATGGGGACGATGGCCTCGAGGGCCGCCGACGTTTGCCGCCAGTTCGGGCCGAGCATTGACCCGCTGTCGTCGATGAGGAAGACGGTGTCGAAGTTGCGGAGAGCGCTGTAGTGGTCCACGCCCACGGTGCTGTTGGCGCGGAAGGAGAAGCGGCGCGTGACGGGTTCGATGGTGGGCGAGGTGGCCATCATGTTTGGGTGGTAGGGGTTGGTGGGGTGGGGTTGGGGTTGGGGCGGGTAGGGGTGGTGCTCGGGCATGGGGGCGAATTGATGTGTGTAGGGTGCTGCGGTGGGGACGATGCCGGCGTACGCGGGAGGTGGGGTTTCAGGGATGGTGGTGATGTGATTGGCGGGTTGTGGGTGCGGGGATTGCTTGTCGGACATGAAAATATGTCCCCCCCCATTTAGCCCGCGAGAGGTGGACTTTTCATTGACATGCCTCTTCTTCGTTCCGAAACAGAAGAAACGGCCGATTCCCATTGTGTGTGTAGATGTAGATGGAGATGTAGCTGTTTTGTTAGTTTGCTACCTAATTTGTGGTGTTGGTGGTTGAGTGCAATGCAGGTGAGATGCGGAGGAGTGCAAGTTTATTCTCGTCTCGTTCGCAGCGCTTAATTGAGGAGTAGCAATTGCAGTTGTTGTTGCAATGTGTGTCTAAGTCGGGAGAAAGTCGCAGACGTTTAATGAAGCCAGAGACCCTGTCTGCTGTACTGTACTATTGTGTAGGGTATGTGTGGATACTAGGGGGCTAGTATCTCTGTGTGTAATGAGCAGTCAAGTCAATCAATTAATGCAATCAAATCTCAGTGAGAGAGATCCCATTCTACTTATACCTTTCCCCTAATTCTTCCCCTACAAAGGCAATTTTCTGCCGGGCGCACACACCACCTTAGAATTGCCAGGGGGGGCGCCGGATGTGTGTGGGGGCACGGAGAGACCTGTTTTGGTCATGGTTGGTCCAGGTTACACAGCACCGGACGCCCGACCACAAAGAGAGAGAAAAGAAGCACATGCACAGTCTACTGCGGTAGTTGCATTGTATCTAGGAGCGCCGCTCAGGTCTTGGTTGCTGTTCCCAATACCGTAGTATAACGTCTACCAATGGCTGGTTCCGGTTTTAAACGGTCCCGCCCACGTATCAAGTGTACTTCTTAGAACCTTCTTCTGATCGCTCATTCAACGTTTTTTCACGTACTGCCAGCATATGACTCCAGATGAGACCCGGCAGAGTGGTTTGGGATCGAAACAACAAGTTTTAGGTTGTTCTACAGTTGTTCTACAGTTGTTCTACAGCTAGCCCAGTCCGGTCTAGATTCGACTCTGCCCCTTCAACACAACTGAGCAGCACAGGATTCTCGAAACAAAGCTGTCAATTAGTTCCCAGTGACTAGTTTCATTTTCCCTGCCCCAGGAGTCAAAATGACAAGAAAGAAAAAAAAAAAAAAAAAAAAAAGAGCAAAGCCTCTAGCGTCCGGACCAAGAACCTACCTTTGATCCTCAATTCGAACATTTCACAAAGTCTCAGTCACTCAACTGCGGCGACCCCTGGCCTGTCACTATGAGTTAGTAGATAGGCATCCTACGTTTCACGCCCCATGAGTATAGATTCCAGGATCCTCACGAGGCAGGCTATGGAGGGCTGTCATGACTTCACCGTGTGACTATTCGCCATTTTCTCTGCTCTACATGTACATCTGAGGCTTGAGACTCTGGGAGCTCTGAGGCTGAGGATCTGTGGAGTGGATCTACCACCCACGTGAGTACCGAGATCTGTCCCCGGAGTACCGTGGAGTACCTATCTACCTGGTGGATTTCTCTAGAGCTGTCCTGCATATATCGATGACTCGCATGGCTATGCTTGAATACGGCACAGGCAGATGCATAACTACATGTATGTACATAATAACTACATGTATGGCTCACAAAACCAGTGCATATACTTACTAAATGTAGCTTGAGATTTATATTGCCATATTCTCTATGGAATGGAGAATTAATTGCGAACCTACGTATAGTCGTTCACCGTCTCTTGACGAACAGGGATTCCAAGTATGGCAAGAAAGCGAGATCTCCAGTCCTTTTAATTTCTATTGGCCCAAAGTCCCCTGTTCGTCAAGTGGCAGTATTCGTCAAGCGACGGTGAACGACTGTACATACTCGAGCTAGCTCGGGAGAGAGCACTGCGGCCGGCACCGGCGTTATTAACTCTCCGTATCAATATATTTGTAATAGAAATTAATATCACCGGCCGAGCTAGGGGAAAGATTATACCAAACTGGTAACTATGATCTTAGTCTATATTTCCCAGCTCACGCCATCTCAAGAAAGAATTAAACCTGCCTTTCTGGAAATTGCCACTTTTCAGTTGAAAATTTTCTACTGGTGGAGTTGACCGTTAAGTACGTTATCAGGATATATGAACTTAAGATCTCGATCTAGCTCCCGAGGCCGACTCCAGTCATATTATATATTGCTCTAGTATGTAGCTAGCTATAGCTATAGTATCAGCACTGAGTAGAGCTATCCTCTACGAGATCAATCAACCTCCTTGCCACAATAAAGGCGTATCTACTCTACGCCTCCCGCCTCACGCCTCACGCCGTTCACATTTCTACAGCCCCAAAATAATACCTATTATGTACTAAACCCTAACCCTCATATTCCGAGATCAAAATTACTTCTATGGGAAACATCCGATCTGATGCAGATCAATGGAATCCAACCAATCACTCGAGAGATAATCCCTGGACGGCCCTAGCGGGTTCCTCGGGTTTTTGCGGTTCGCTACAGGGATCTGAGTAATCGCGCCTTACCATTCGACACATGCACAACCTCTCACTCGCGCCAAGCCAAAGGAACATTCGCTTATCAGACACTAGCGTAATTATTACATACTCTACCGCAGTTGACTTGGCTTCCAGAATATCGAAGGCTTCCGGGATGATCGCTCTTGGCCGGCTGCGGCGATCATGATCATGACGTGCGGCTCATAATCCTTGATCCCGAAAGCAAGTATTCTACAGCGATGGGGAAAATTATTGTAGAAACAGGGGTCTAAAAACAGGGTTTAGGTGGCTGCCCTGGCCAATAGGACTCTTCCCATGCTTCTACAATAATTTTACCTCACGCTGTACAGCCGAGCCGAAAGTCCCCGTTCGAACCGGAATGCCGGCCCAGACCCGATGGGTACTACCTAAACAGCTTTTGGTTGGTCCTACTTGCATAAGGCTTCACCGGCGACCGAAAGTGGCTTGAGGTGCCTGTCCTGAGGCGTTACATAGATAAATGTAACATATATGTACCTGTAGCTGGCATCTAGCTCAAAGTCAAACGTGTACTCTATGCTTGATAGCCTCACCAAATTGCGCAAAGTTGGTTACGTCTGTAGTAGTCACGCCAGTTCACAATCGCCGGATTTAACCACACCACTAGCCACCTGGACGTCATTCAAGGCCAATTGCAAGGTGAACACGATATCGGATTATCTCACCACTTTTCATGATTCATCAAGTTAATTGCAATGCTGGCTATGGCATACACGTTTCGGCTGCGCTGGTAGAGTATCCACAACCAATTCACCTTTTAGTAAACCCTAACCCTATGCCAACCACTGCCAATGATCTTTCTATTGATATATTCCTATATTCGTGCATGCTTGGTAGACGGCGCTTGCTGAATTTCCCTGAAAGTGATGCCCTGACCGAAGTGAAGGGAAAGGGCTATGGGGTGTAATAGCTTATATCGCTCCCTGATTAGCTACTCCATGTAGACCAATAACCCTAACCTAAAATAATATATCAATATTCCTAATATTATAATAAGATCAGTAATATGAGGCTGTGTAGCTGCCCCTCCCTGCGAGCAAGGAGAAACCGAACACCGCACTGCGAGCCAGGAGACACTTACTAGAAACCCATTGAGAGCCTTCGTTCAGGGAATATACGACTGCCCGGGCCCCGTAAGATAGAACCAGAGTCTGGGGGCGTCGTGACGAGTTGGGGAGAGCCAGCGCAGCTGAATTTTAATTTAATTGGTGAGGCGAGCCCACAGGCATCAAATCCGATTATGTAGTATACCGTAAAGCCGATAGCTATGCAGCAGGGCTCTCGCAATGGCGCAATGGCCTTCTCCGGAAATAATTGGTGAACTGAAGAGTGATGTCCAGTTATTCTCCTACGGTTAAGTGCTCGAGTAAATAAACTATTGGCTCTACTACTAGCCACCACATGCTCAGGTCCTCAAAAATTCCCAGTGTAAAAGGAATAAATCTCAAGGGATGTCAATTCCGTAGCCATCCACAGGAGAAGACCAAGCCATGAGCGAGACAGATGGTTAATCTATCAATTAACCCGAGGCCAACAAGTCCGCTGAACCACTTAGTTATTTCCCAACATTTCCCCAGCTTGGGCTTTGAATATCTCGCAACAACAAATACAACCTACTTCATAGTGTAACTCTCAAACTTCCCGTGATAGTACACTTTCTTTGACGGTGCAATAGTCTGACGCGATGTTATGCCAAAAATATTTGAAACTGCTCTAAAATATAGCCACGATTTCGAAGAGATCTATGGGAAGATGCTCATCCGGTTTCCAAGTTGTGTATTGGGTCCTAAGCTGCCTTGAAGATGGAGGTACTGCTACATGTAAATACCTGGCACTTCAATATTCATTGCAGCTCAGAAAACCAGCGCAGCTACAAGAGTCAGCTCTGAATGCCAATTTTTATCAACCTAGAACATTCACTCATGCCGTGGCGTGTTTTTCTTTTTTCTTTTCCGCCTATTATTCAACTACCGATGAATATGTTTGAGGTCGGACACTGAGTCAAATATGCATAGACAGACGTCGAGGCAGAAAGAAGGCCCAAAGCGCACTGGTGTCTCCAAATGAAGACCTTACAGCCGTATGTATATCAGGTCCTGTTGGGAAGGTCCACCCAATACATTTACCTGTAAAATGGCGCACAGATCATCATGTGCCCCTGCCTAGCCCTCACTGGGCACAAATTTTCCGATTGGTAATTTTGAACGGTGTCTTGATATCTGAGCAGGCCAGAGTCAATCGAAGGGGATATGTCTATACCTAGGTCTTTACCTGAGAGACCTATTTTGGATTTTTTTTCTCCAGAGATTTCAAGACACGTATATCCAATTGGCGGGGGTTTATGTGGTTATTCGTGAACACTCTGGATTTCTGACTACCATGTAAATAGAGTATTTCAACGAGTTTAGGGATTCCCAGTCAAAAAATCAGAAGCTCAAACACACCCTGGGTGCCCAGGTGGTGAATGTTTTCGTGGAGTAAGGAAGCCCCTGGTACCACCCCCTGTTTTGGCTGTGGTACCCCTTCATTCTTATATCTCCTTTAATTGGTATTCTTCAA